TTTTGTGCAGAGATACATTATGAGGATTGAAATATCAGCCCAACTCACCACTCTCTGGCAGCTAGAGAGTAAGGTGCCTCTGTTTCCTTTCACTGTATTAAGTAAAGCAAGAGAAAACAGAGCCATTTCCAGGATCCAGAGAACTTTATTACAGCTGAGATACATCACTACATCTCCAACACAGACCTCCCAGAGGGTGTAAACACAGCCACCTAGACAGAAGAGCAAATCCAAGAGTCAACAGGAAATTTAAAAAACTTTTCAGCTAGCTCTGACACAGCAGAATAAGAAATGGGCTTGGGAAGAAGGGAGGAAAGACATTGCTGGTGCATTAAATTAGAGTTGTTCTCAGGATGGGGGAGGAAGGGAATCCAGGAAGCAGGAACACCAAGGAGAAGAGACAAATCCATCCACCTAAGCACCCGAGAAACTGGTGCTAGATTTAGAGGCTCAGCACTCCTCTAGAACAGCCTTAGTTTGAATACATCCTATTTATTTTTTCTTCATTTTATTTCTTGTGCTTTAGGAGTCTTGTTAAAGAAGTAGGGGCCTAGTCCGACATGATGAAGATTAGGGCCTACTTTTTCTTCTGTTAGGTGCAGGATCTCTGGACTAATTCCTAGGTCCTTGATCCATTTTGAGTTGAGTTTTGTGCATGGTGAGAGATAAGGGTTTAATTTCATTTTGCTGCATATGGATTTTCAGTTTTCCCAGCACCATTGGTTCAACAGGCTATCTTTTCTCCAATGTGTGTTTTTGGCACCTTTTCCAGTATGTGAATTTATGTGGGTTGGTCTCYTTTGTGCCATTAGTCTATGTGTCTATTTTGGTGCCAATACCATGCTGTTGTGTTTTTTTGTTGTTGTTTTTGTTTGTTTTGTTTTGTTTGTTTTTTACTGTTGCTCTGTAGGATAGTTTAAAGTCTGGTATTGTGCTGCTTCCTACTTTACTTTTCTTCCTTTGGCTATTCTGGGTCTCTTATTGTTCTAAATGAATTTCATGAATGCTTTTTCTAGTTCTATGAAGACTGTCATTGGGATTTTAATAGAAATTGTATTAGATCTGTATAGTGCTTTTGGTAGTATGCCATTTTGATAATACTAACTGCCTATCCTGGAGCAGCTTTTCATTTGGTCAATGTTTTGAATTGTTTCTTTTGTTTCAATTTCATTGATTTCAGCTCTGATTTTAATTATTTCTTGTCTTCTACTACTTTTGGTGTTGATTTCTTCTTTTTTCTAGGACTTTGAGTTGTAATGTCAGATTGTTTATTTGTTGACTTTTTATTCTTTTAATGAAAGTCAATGCAAAGAACTTTCCTCTTAGCACTGCCTTCATAGTGTCCCAGAGATTTTGATATGTTGTATCAGTGTTCTCTATTTACCTCTAAGAATTTTTTATCTCCTCCCTGATGTCTTCTGCTATCTGTTGCTCATTCAACATCATATTATTTAGTCTCCAGGTGTTGGAGTACCTTCTATTTTTTTATTCTAACATTGACTTCTAGTTTCATTCCATTATGATCTAATAGAATACAGAGTAGTATCTCTATTTTTTGTAATTGCTGAGAGTTGCTTTGCGGCACAATATATGGTCTATTTTAGAGAAAGATCCATATGCTGCTGAGAAGAAGGTGTATTTGCTTAATGATGGATGAAATACTCCACATATGTCTGTTAAGTCTAAATCATTGATTGTATTATTGAGTTCTATATTTTCTTTGTTTAGTTTTTGTTTGGAAGATCTATCCAGTGGTGAAAGAGGTGTGCTAAAGTCATCCAGTATAATTGTGTTGTGATCTTTTTGCTTCTTGGAATTGAGAATGGTTTGATATACGTAGATGCTCCATTGTTTGGGGCATAGATATAATGATTGTTATGTCTTGTTGATGTATGGTTCCCTTAAGCAGTATTAAATRTCCTTCTTTATCTCTTCTGACTAACTTGATTTGAAGTCCACTTTATCTGATATTAGGATGGAAATCCCTGCTTTTTTATATGGCCATGTGAGTGATATGTTTTTTCCCAAGCTTTCACCTTCAACCTTTCACTTTTCCTATGAGATGAGTCTCTTGCAAAGCAGCATATTGTTGAATTTTTTTAATCCAATCTGCCAGTCTATCTTTTAATTAATGAGTTTAGACCATTAACATTCAGGGTTATTATTGAGACATGGTTTATATTCCTGGTCATTTGGGTTTACTTTGGTTTTTAACTTGACTTGTTTTCTCATTTGATTGGATTTTCCTTTAGTGTAGTTCCTCCCTTTGCTTCTTTTCATTGTTGTTTTTCATTTCCTCCTCATGGAAAATTTTCTGAAAATATTCTGTAGTGCAGGCTTTCTCGWATATTCTTTTAATTTTTGTTTACCATGGAAGGTTTTTATTTTGTCATCAAATCTGAAGCTTAATTTTGCTGGATATAAGATTCTTGGTTGGGTTGTAGCTCAGTGGTAGAACAATTGCTTAGCATGTGTGAGGCCCTGGGTTCAATCCTCAGCACCACATAAAGATAAATAAATAAAATAAAGGTGTTGTGTCCATCTACAATTAAGAAAATATATATTTTTTTTWAAAAAAGATTCTTGGTTGGCATCCAGTTTTATTCAGAGCTTGGTATACGTTTTTCCGGGATCTCCTGGCTTGATGGCCTGGGTTGAGAAATCTGCTGAGATCTGAATTATTTTCCCCCATATGTAATCTGAAACCTTTCTCTTGCGGCTTTAAAAATTCTATCYTTATTCTGTATACTAGGCCCTTTCATTATAATGTGCCTTGGTGTGGATCTGTTGTAATTTTGTATATTTGATGTCCTGTAAGCCTCTTATATTTGATTTTCCAGTTCATTCTTCATGTTTGAGAAATTTTCTGATATTATTTCATTGAAGAGATTGTGCATTCCTTTGGTTTGTATCTCTGTGTCTTCCTCTATCCTGATAATTCTTAGATTTGGTCTTTTCATATTATCCCATAATTCTTGGAGGTTCTGTTCATGGTTTCTCACCATCTTCACTGTGTGAGCAACTTTATTTTCAAGATTATATGTTTTGTCTTCATTGCCTGAGGTTCTGTCTTCCAAGTGATCTAGTCTGTTGGTGATGCTTTCAATTGAATTTTTTATTTGATTTATTGTTTCCTTCATTTCAAGGATTTCTGGATATTTATTTTTCAGAGTCTTTATCTCTTTCTTGCAGTAATCTTTTGCTATCTGTATTTCCTCTCGTATCTTTTTGAAGTGATCAATTGTTGCCTCTATTTGCTCTCTTAATTCATTCTTTGCTCCAGAGATYATTTTAATTATGTACATTCTGAACTCTTTCTCTGACATTTCATCTACTGTGCTGTCAATGGAATCTATTATTATCTATTATCAGCTTGGTTTGTTTGGGGCACTTTCTTCCCTTGTTTCTTCATGTTGCCCATGGGTCTTCCTCTCTAGCAGTGTGGATTTGAGGTATTACAGTTTCTACCTTAAAATCTTATAGTGTCCCTGCAGATTACCGATACCTTGCCTGCAAGAATCTGGATGATGATCTTGTAGGTCCTGGCTGTTGTCACTATATGGAACCCAGCAGGGAAAGCCACCCCACGTGTGAGTAGATGGGGCTGCAGCATGGTTGCTCTCCCCCTACTGTGTGGGCCAGGGTCACTCTCCTCCTACCACATGGTGGGCCAGGATCATGGCCACCTGCTTCTCCTCCTTCCTTGTGGCAGATYAGGGTCACGGTCATCTCCAATCTCCATTTAAATCCAGAGCTCAGTAAACAGCTGGTCACCCAGTTGAGACTGTCATGATTGCCCTTGTTCCTCTCTCTCCTTCATGACTTAATCTAGTCAAACATCAAGTTCCATTCCATTTTCTTTTTAGATATTTCTTCAACCCAACTCCACTGCCACAGCCCTCATTTAGAATTCATTTATGCTTTCTTTGTTCCAGAACCTGCTTCTCTCCAGGACATTGCTTCCATGTTGGCCTAAGTGGTCTTTTCAAAATTCACCTGATTCAGTTAATTTCTCAGCTTTTATGATAGAGTCCCAAATCCTTAATAGCTTGTGGGAACCTCTGCAGCCTGGTCTTCTAGCATTCTCTGCTGACTCTTCACTCCCAGCTGCCYGCACCCCAACCATGCTAGACCTCTTTCAGTTATTCAAACATTCCCTGCCCCCTCCTACCTCTATGTCTTTACATAAGCTGTCCCCCTGCCTAGAATGCCCTTCTTATCTCTTCACTCTGCTAATACCTGTTCATCCATCAGTGCTCAACTTTAGAGGACACTGACCCAGAGAAGCTTCCTTGGTTTTCTAGAATAGGTGATGTTAACCTTCTGTGTGCTCCCATAGCACCCTGTACTTTTTTTCACTACTGAATTTAATTATTTATAGTTATTTGTTTAATGTTGTCTCCTTCATTAGAATGCATCTTCCATGAGAATGTTAATGTCTCTACATCTCCTGTGACTGGATATTCAGCACCTTRCCAATGCCTGACACATAGTCAAGTCTCAATAAATAGCTTTTGACTAGATAACTGAATCACAGCTCTTCCTGGTTGARTATTCCTGTTTGATGTACAGCAAAAGCCTAAGAACTAATTGTCCATTGTATCTATGCTTTCTGTAAGTCCTCTGACCTTTATTTTCCATTCCACAAGGATTATTATGTATAATATATGACACTCATCCTCTTCTTTCTCTTCTCAGTGTTGTGTCACAAGTTGATGTATTTTACTGGGTGAGGCCCAGGCAATTTCCCTGTTTATAGCTCTAACCTTTCTGTGTGCAAACATATAGTGAACTTTGGTTCATCTCCTACCATAATGCAGCTGCTAATTGCTGGTAGGCAGGCTGTGTCCCATGGCCCATGTGACCAGTGGGGCATGACCAGAAAGGAGTGTGGAGAGGAGTGGACACAGCAAGTCAGCTAGAGGCTATCCAGCCAGAGTTCCCACGTCCCTGGAAGCCAGAACAAAGCAAGTGAGTGTGGGGAGTACGGATTTGAAGTCATGAAGACACCACTGCTGGGCTTGGCTTTGTGTTCACTGTTGTTCCAGCCTTGGCTGATGTTGTGGGCCTCCCAGTTCAGCCAAAACTGCCATAATGACAGCTATGAGATCAGCGTCCTGATGATGAACAACTCGGCCTTCCCAGAGCCCCTGGATAAGTTGAGAGAAGCTGTGAATGAGGGATTGGACATAGTGAGAATGCGTCTGCACGAAGCTGGTAAGAACAGGCTAATAGAATCCTCCTCTGCTACCACCTCTGGCTAAGCATGGACCTTCTGTACTTTGCCTGATCGCTCGACCTTCCCCAAGGTCCATCTCTAAACCCCTTTCTGTTTCCAGGCAGTAGATCTTCAGTGGGGAGAATTTGAACCTGACCATGTTGTGCTCACTTACCATGCACCTTTTCTGGGGATAGCTTCAAGCCAGGAAAATGTAAAGTGTTCACAGCAGTAAAAAAAAAAACCGTTAAAACTGGGTTTATTGCCCAGTTCAGGGAGGCATTGTGCTTTCTTCTATAGCAGCTCAAGAGCAGCTCAATCTCAAGTCCTGGGTAATATTTATCCCTTAAAATAAATATTACCCACAGGGTTACCAGTCAAGAAGATGAAATAAGGGAGTAAAATTCATTCAGGCACCAAATCTATCTCTATCCAGAGAATGATATATTATTCTCTGRACTTGTGGATTCTTTACATCACCCCTGGCTGCAATTATCATATGTAGTAGGCAGAATAAACTGGTAATCAAATTCATTATTACAGTTCCTCACTGTATCTTTTAATTATAAAMATAAACTTTATTACATAAAATATGTAAAATATAAAATAAATTGTTCAGGAAAATTTCTGTTCACTGGAAGTTTTCAGTCTATTTTCACATGCCTCTTTTAAGAAYGTGGTTGGTGATCCATATGCCATAGAAACAATTCTGCATACTTCTGTGTCACTTCACATTATTCCATAAGTGACAATTTTCCTATTGCTGTGTGTTCTTCCTAGTTATCATGTGAACACATACACAATATCCCTTAGAATAAATATTACCCAAGTTTTCTGAAATTTTCCTATGGTAGAATATTTTATTCTATTTAATTTCTTGTGATTGTTTTTATAATACTACAATAAATGTTTTCTTGTATATAGTTTTTCCTCTACTCCCTGAGACTAGGTTAACAGAAGTAGAATCAATGAGTTGATGAGAATTTGATACATATTAATAGTTATCCGTTTTAAGAACRATACATCTTGATCTTCTCTACTTAAAATCCTATGGGAAAAAATCTTATGGAAATTAGAGCAACAGTTCAGATATGTATAACTTACTTCTGTGTATTTACAATATTTCTCAATTCTTTCTGAAACTATATTCAGATGTAAACGAATGGATTTGATCTAGAGCTACACTGGAATTTAGAAGTTATTTAATAAAATCCCCTTTTTTACTGAGACAGTGTGAGATAGTGAAAAGAACACTGGATTTGAAGTCTGAGAATCTGAATTGAGGTCTCTGCCCACAACTCTTCTGTTTTTCTGAGACCCTGGTTGAGTGAGGTCCCTCAGACTCTCTGAGCCCTGGTTTCCTTGTTCATTATGTACTGGTCATGTGTTACATAAGTTCTAAGTACTTTCATTACATAATTTCTTTAATTGCCACAGCTCTGTGGGGTTGTATAATTGACACTGGTTTYAGAGCAGAAGTCATAACTTTGTTAAGGCCCTACAGGTTGTCTGTTTCAARTGGATCCAGATCCATTTCTGTCTGGTTCTGATGAGTGTATCATATTGCTACTGTAAGATCTTTGCRCAGGATGAACTAAGATCTTTATTAGAAGCGGAGACTTGGAATCTGACAGATCTTGGTTCATATTCTTGACCAACCACTTACAGCCAATATAACCTCAAGYAAATTACTTACATTTTCTGAACTTCAGTTTCCTTATCCCTAAAATCAGAATAAGTGGTAGTTACAGTTTATGGGTAGAGTGTGGACTYGCTGAGGAAATGCATGTAAGTCCCTTTATTGGGTAAATACTCAATAAACGGCAGTTGTTGTTGCTGTTGCTGGGCCGTTATTTCTATTTGGAGAAAAACATGCCTGGCATATAAAATAAATAGTGCAGGGTACAGGTTAAAACCTTGATCTCCAAATTCATACAGCCTGGATTTGAATTCCTGCTCCACCATTTACTACTTGAATCKGAGTGGATGAATTATTATTTTGAAACTTCACTCATCTGATTGGTAATATAGAGGTACTAATGGTGAGGTTGTTGAATGGATTAAGTAAGTGGAGAGTTCTGTAGAACTCTCACTCAGATTGTCCCCCCCTTCAATAATGCATTTTGTTGGATAGATATTCATGAAAAGTAAACAAAAGAGAAGCAGGTTTTAGAGAGAAGATAGTTCATGTTCTACATATACTGAGCATTGCTATTTGGAAAAAAAWTTTAAAACAATATATCTGAGAGTTAAATAAAATAAAATTAAGAGTTTAAAGTTCATACTTGTTTGTTGTTTGAAAAATGTTCAGTCTTTTTTTTTTTGAGAAATCATGTGGAGAGATAAAATAGGCAAAGGTAGCATATTATAGTATATTCCACTGGAGTGAATCTAAAATGTTAAAAAATTCTGATCTTAAGACCTTTTATACTCTTAAAAAGAATCAAGGGAAAAATTGATGGTCTTGAAGAGTTTTGTTTATTGTGGTTTATTTGTTTATCRATATTTATTAGATTGGAAATTAAAGCTGAGAAATGTTTAAAACATTTGCTTATAAATTCACTAAAAATAACAAACATTTTATCTGTTAATGTTTCTAAGAAAAAAAATCTATATTTCTCAAGCCAAAACAAAGCAAGTGCCAAGAGTGGTACTGATTCGCATATTGAGAATGTCTTTAATATTCAATTTAATGAAAGAGCTAAATTCTCATACTGGCTCTATATTCARTCTGTTACAATATAACATATATCATGTACCTCCAGAAAATTCCATGATATGCTCATGAAAGAGAGTAGAAAAAGCAAAGAATATCTTAGTGCAATTATGAAATAGCTTTGACTTCATGGACCTCCTGAAAGGGACTCAGGATAAATTCTAGAATCAGACTGCCCTAGGCTCACATCCCAGTTCCACTACTTACTAGCTCTGTAATGTTAAGGAAATCAACTTTCTCTATGACATCATTCTCTCATTTAAAAATTAGGGCAAATATTAGTTCTCTTGCAGTTTTCAGAAAAGAATTAAGTAAAATGATGCATGTAAAAATTCATATCCCAATGCCAGGCATATTGCGACAGAGATGCTTCAGTCTATTATAACAACACGTGGAAGAGGAACTGGGGCMCCTGTGGTGAAGTCACTTGTCCAAGGTCACACTCAACTCACCATGGTTCCTTTTTCCCAAGCTCTGTTCAGGGTTTAACACTTGGGTTTTATTGTGCCACTCATGAACTACCTGGAGCCTACGATTTTTAAATGGGTCATTTTCAATGTACCTCATGGAGGTAGGAGAGAGCAGAAGTCTCATAGAGACAGGAGAAGTCAAGGGAGGAGTTAGCTTTCACATTAATAGGGGTGAGTACTACCATCTTTCTGAAGCCCAGGTTCTATCAGGCTCCTGCACACTGCCTCCTGGTCAGYCTGATGACTCCTGCTGTTTCCCAAGACCTTCTCCTGCCCTCTTTTCTACCATTCCTCGCCTGCACCCCAGCCTCCTGTTCTCCTGGCTTCAACGCCCTGTATTCTCCCTATTGTGAGAATTAGCTCAAATAAACATTATAAAATGCTTAGTCCTGTGGTTGGTTCATGGCCATACTCAAGTGTTAATTATTAYTAAACCCATCACTAACCTCACCTCTTCCACTGATTTTCTCTGACAAGTCTAATCTTATTAACCTCTTATCCTAGCAAAGTCCTAGCAAAGAACTGACACCTCTTATTTGGACCTCTTACTGAACAAAGTACCAGTGTATGCATTCTTGAATTAACCAAAAATAAAAGAAAGTGCTCCCTAGTTGGTAGGATTGTCATTTCCCATAATCATATTTCTTAGGTGGCTGTAGGAATGTGTGCAAAGATACTTCCATCACGAGGAATAACAGGTCTCTACTTTTAAAAGCATTATTTGGATATTCAGGAGAACTTCTATTATAGATATTCTTTACACTTTTAGAGGTATTATTTAAAAATTATCCCACTGGACAATTTAGGTACAGACCTCTCTTTACATATGAGGATAYCATGTCAGGGAAATTAAAATAGCCTCTAAAAAGAACACATAGAAAGTCACTCACAATGACAGACTAAYGACTGAGTTTTCCAGTCTCTGGGTAGTCTTGGCAAATTAAGAATGTCTCTGGCTTAGCAATCAGACATTTGTCCAGATTATTTTTCTACTGAAAGGACACAATAGCATAAGAGACAGAGCTTGATATGTTCTGCTACCTCATTTTTATCTTTCAAAATGTGGTGCCTAGAATACCCAGGAATATTGTCATCAGTGTAAACAACAACAACAACAACAACAACAACAACAAAAACGGTGTTGGCACCATAATGAAAGCACAAATAACCAGGATGGGAGCAGACTTCATGGATCAGCTATGCCTTTTATTCATCAAAAGATTTGGGCATCAGAGGGGCTCATTTTCTGGGYAGAAAATGGCCCCTTGTTACAGAAGGGGTTTGGGTTTTTATAGGGGACACTGAGAGATGACTTAATCTTTTTAACAGAATGAGTCAGTTTGGGCATTCAAGAAACATGTTGTGAGAACCTGAAACTTGTTATTACTGGGTATTGTTTTTGCTGGACAAGGATGGAGGGTTCAGCATTCAGTGCTTATCTCTTTCCCTCCAGGGTCTATTGTACTGTCACTGGGAAAGGATTTATTGGGAAAGGATCAATCCTTGTCCYCTTTCCAGGGACTGCCATTTTAGGATGGATGGATATCTCTTTCCCAGAGATTGTCTTGTCACTGGGAAAGGATTTATTGGGAAAGAATCAATGCTTCACTTTCTTCCCAGGGATTATCATTTCCTTGTCTTGGGGGTTGTCATTTCCCATATCCTTCAATCAATGCCTTAGCCTTCACCTAAAGCTATTATCCAAAGATCTCAGGCCAGAATGAGAACCCTTCACTCTGTCTTTGGGAGTGGACCACACAGGAAATGCTTAACATCGGGAGTGGTAACTCTTCAGTAAGACTAGATGCTCCTAGATGACCAAGCAGATATTTCAAAGAGAAACTTGTTTTGAATTCTTATATTTCTAAGAGAGAAATTTTTAATTACAGTGAAATCCAATCAAAACTCTTACACCATTTAGAATACTAATGGTGATATTAACCTGGCAAAAATTACTCTCTCATGCATGAGTTTGGATCTGAGATATCAAAAATGCACAATGGGTTAGGGATGAGATAATCATGACTTCAGATCCCATCATCTATTACATGGGACAACCCCATTGAAAAAAAAATTTTTTTTTTTTGGTACCAGGAATTGAACCCAGGGGGGCTTAACCTTTGAGCAACATTCCCAGCCCTTTTTTAAAATATTTTATTTAGAGAAAAGGTCTTGCTGAGTTGCTTAGGGTCTCGCTAAATTGCTGAGGCTGGCTTTGAACTCAACAGTCCTCCTRTCTCAGCCTCCTGAGCCATTGGGATTACAGGTATGCGCCACAGCTCCTAGCCCAGTGAAACTTTTGTCTCAAGCTGTTTTCTAGAAATCTAAGACATCCCTTTTGTGCTAAAATTATAAATCTGAGAGACACAGGTGACAGTTTTTATCAGTAAGTATAACTGCTCTGATACTTATCCCTCACTGGTATATTCAACTGCTCACTTAAGTCTGTTAGGAAGTCTAATCTGCATCCCACAACTGACATGTCCACCTGAACTCTGATTCCTCCCTGGAATACACAAACTTGCTCCTCCCACATTCTTTCTTACTTCGGTCAATAGCAATTCCCTTTACCCGGTGCTTAGGTAAAAAATATCGACGTTATCCTGAGTCCTCATTTTCTCATGCTTTTTATCCCATCTGTCAGCAATTTCTTGCCAGCCCTTCCTCCAAGATTCATTTGAGACGATCATGCTAAGTGAAATAAGCCAGTCCCAAGAAACCAAAGGCTGAATAGTCTCTCTGATATGCGGATGCTAACTCATAATAAGGGGGTAGAGGATTGRCGAAGAATAGAAGTATTTTGGATTAGACAAAGGGGAATGAAGGGAAGGGAGGGGGTGGGAATAGGAAAGACAGTAGAATGAATCAAACATTACTTTCCTATGTTCATATATGAATGCATGACCAATGTAATTTCATATCATGTACAACCAGAAGAATGGGAAGTTATACTCCATATATGTATGTGAAAATATATTCTTCTGACATGTGTAACTAATAAGAACAACAACAACAAAAAAAATTCAACAATTTTCCTCTACTTTTGCTACTAGTACTTTAGTTCAAGCTAACCTAGGTGAATCATAGACTCCTAACTAACCTCTCTGCTTTTTTTTTGTCCTCTATGATCTATTCTCCATATAAGATTCCAGAGAAATATTCTTTAAATGATGGCCAGACAATATCATTTCTCTGCTTAACCCTCCACCCCGACCCCAGACATCCCATCCCAGAATAAATTGAAAGTCTTTACTAAAGCCTACAAGGTCCTGAGTGATATGCGCTCCCTCGACCTTTTCTCTTGCCATTCTGCTCCTTACTAGCTCTGCCATAACTGCAGGGGCTTCCTTACTGCTTCTAAAACCATCCTGCCCAAGACTTTTGCCCTTGCTCTATCTCCAACAGGAAACCTGTGTCTGCATGCCTCGCTTTTTTGTGGCACTCAGATTCTGGCTCCCCCTAGGGGTTTCCACAGCCACTCTATGAGAAATAGCACAATTCTGGGTGATTCCYCCAAAGAAAATGTAAGCTTCATGAAAGCAGGGACTTATTTTGATCAATGCTATCTCCTGAGCACAAACAAGAGTGCCTGGCACATAGCAGAAACTTAACAAGTATTTGTTGRCTGAATGAACAAAGACCGAAGACCAAGGAAGGTTGTAACTGTGTATGCATTTAGCAGCAAACAGAACCAGCATCTTGGGAATGAGCAGGACATCATAGCATCTGTTTCTGCTTTCCCCACACTGTCCGACTCTGTGTAAGAAATTTGCTGAACCTGGAGTTGTGAAAAGATGACAAGAACATCAGACATACGAAAATGTCATTTTCTCCCATTGTCCCAGATGTGGAACACTTATAAAAACTTAAATATAGGAATRGGGATGTGGCTCCATGGCTAAGCACCCCTGGGTTCAATCCTTGGTGCCAATAATAAAAAAAAAAAACTTAAATATAGCATAAAATATATAATGCAATTATATTTTATGTAACCAAATTATATAAGAATATAATCATAATCTTTGTAATATTAACTATATAATTATTATTARCTCAAATTAATTGATATAATAATATATAAGTCCCAGACTATGGTTTCCAACCTGTTTTAATGCACCTGTGTCAGTTTCATTGAAATAGTCACAGAATTGAAAACTYGGGACTTAATGATGARGGCTGCACAATTCCATTTATTTACTAAAGATCATGGCATTTTACTCTTATAATGTATGRCTTTTATACTGTGGAGAGAGGGAAATGAACAGAAAGAAACTTACAGAAAGATAGGGYAGGGGAGGGGGGAATGACTGAAGAATAGAATTAAAAACTCAGAATTCAAATATTTCCAGGCCTGGAAATGGATCTTCCTTTTTTTCCTCAGAATCAGTAAAAAGAGATAAATCTAGAGTTGGTATAAATTACAAAAACAAACAAACAAACAAACAAAAAAACCTAGTTTTCTCTTTTCCCTCCCTTCTGGATAACAGGCTTAAATGTGACTGTGAATGCTACCTTTATATATTCCGATGGTCTGATTCACAAGTCAGGCGACTGCCGGAGCAGCACCTGCGAAGGCTTGGATCTCCTCAGGGAAATTACAGTAAGTGTTTTCTTCTGTAGATGTAGCTTTCACCCCACCCCACCCCCTTGGCTTGGGATGGTCACAGTGCGAAACCTGTGCACGTGTCCATGAAGCATCTCCCCATCCTTTGCAGCCAAGCAGTGGACTGCTTTGGAGGCCGGGTTTCTGACCTGTGTCCTATGGATTCTCCAAATGCCCTCCAGGAATCCAGAAATGTGGGGAGAAACATAGCTACGTACTATCTGCACACTTTCAGGAATATAGAGAGGAATTATTTTGTTTTCAACTGATGATAAACTTTTTTAAAAATGTACCTGTTGATGTGAACCTGGTTTGCCTTTGTTTCCCTCAAGAAATATCTGAGGAGCCATATCTAAAAACACATTATCGGACATAACTTTCCTATGTTCATATGTAAATACGCCACCAGTGAAACTCTACATCATGTTCCCACAGGATGGGATCCTAATTAGAATAAGTTACACTCCATGAATATATAATGTGTTAAAATACACAGATAATATGTCTATCTAAAAAGAACAATTAAAAAAACACACACACACATTTCCCAGCCCCACATGAGAAATCTGTTTCAAGCCATTGCCACATATCAGGTCGCAGGCCGGTTGCTTGAGGGTTGAATCTGAAACCTGACTTCAAGTGGTAATGGTAATATCTAAGAATAGAAATGGGAAGGGGAAGGTTCTTGCCCAGTTCCTCCTCCCAATTCCAATCTAAGGCAAACTTTAAGGAGCTGAAGAATAGCACAAACTCTTTAGTGACACATAGGTGTTCAAGATGCCCAACTGCTAGAAAGTAGGGAAATGACATTTAAGAACGTGGGGAGTAGAGCCATGACTCTAGAACTTTAATCAGTCACCTCACATTGACCAGAGAGGTGGCACTCAAGTCAGGACGCTTGGCTGGGTCTGTCTTGGGAGGGCGCAAGGTGGCCCAGGGTAGTTTGGTAAACTCTCCTTCCCAGTTGCAGAGAAGTATGCGATTCTTCCCTCTTCTCTATGGAGGCCTGGTTCTCCAAACCGGGAATGGGATGTTCCCAACCAGGTTCCCTTGGAGAAATAGTAGAAGATAAGTTTGATAATTGCTCGATTGATCACATGGCATGTGATTCACAGGAGCCCTTCTTTGTAGTTCTCCCTGAAACTAAAACTTGTCCTCTCACTCCCAAATCTTCCGTATCCCCAATCTGTCCTGACAGCCCCTCCTTCATCTCTTCCCATACCCCCACCCCCACCAATAAGAGATCCACCTCACCTTGGTGGGATAACATTCCCCTCTACCCACAGCATCTCCTCTCCCTCATACCTCCCTACCCTTAAGTTGTCCCTGGCCTGGCCCAAGCACAATATGCAACTCCTTTCTGCTGTGCATTCAAACTCTTGACAGGCTAYGTCCCAACTTTCCAGGAGCCTTTCCGTTGCCACATCTTTTCTATTCATTTGTTAATGTATTTCTTTTTAGTCATTAGTGGTATTCTTGTCTCCTACAGAGGAAAGGTCAGCTGGGCTGTGCTCTCATGGGACCCTCATGCACATACTCCACCTTCCAGATGTAGTAAGTAGTTTGGTTTGCTGTTGTTTTTTTGTTTTTGTTTTTATCATTGTGAACTGAAGTCAGAACATGCTATTGCAAGTTAAATGATTTAATAACCAATAGTGTAGTCAAGACAGTACAATGAAGGGCTTTGGGACCCTAATATTTTGTCACTTCTCTATACTTGCTATTTCCTTCCCCAGGTAGCTCTACTTTTGCTCAGTGGGGTGACCACAGTCGCTGTTCAGTTTGAGTCACTAACGTAGGAGCATAAGAGGCAACACATGATGAGTAGAAAATCAGGGACCTAGCAAAAAACAGGGACATCAGACCTCGGAGAGCCTGAGGAGTTTAATAAAGATAATATTCACAAAAGCATGGGCAGGGGGGAAAATAAAAAGGGCAGTGCTTCACCCACGGGTATTAGTGGGGCTCTGTTTTATATGCAGGTTTATAAAAGTGTATAAATAGCAAGATACTTATTTTATAGACTTATTTGAAAATGAAAAAATAGCATACTTAAGTGTTTTCATACTACACATGTCGTCTTAGAAAAAAAGCCTATAATATATTCCAGAATGAAAAAATTTATCTGGCTTTAGGAAAATTGCCCCCATCCCTTTCATTAATTTTGTTCAGTGTAATTCACATCACCACAAAATGCTTTTGTTCTGTCCGATCACACCTTCTTCAATCAAAATCCTTCACATGTACATTTCTCTCTTTCTTTCTTCCTTTCTTTCTTCTTTTGGTACTGGGGATTGAACCCAAGGGTACTCAACCACTGAGCCATATCCCCACCCCCTTTTTAATATTTTATTAGAGACAGGGTCTCACTGAGTTGCCAAGTGCCTTGCTAAATTGCTGAGGCTGGCTTTGAACTTCCAATGCTCCTGCCTCAGCCTCCTGAGCTGCTGGGATTACAGGCATGCAGCCCTGCACCCGGCTCTCCTGTGCACTTCTTTCACCTGTTTAGTGTTCTCCTGAATCAAGGACCACCCTTTGTCTGCACAAAGAAAACTGTGCTAAGGGACACCATGCAATAGTTTTGGAGGGTAAGCATTAGACTTCCAAAATTTCTATTGGTAAGTCTGCTTATGATACCTTCGCCCAGCAGTAAAACAGACCCAGATCCAGGCCACCAGACACCATAGATACACCACGGGAGCACTTTCTGATTCCATCCTCCATACCAAAATTCAGATATTTTCACACTCTTCCTACTCCTTGTGCTCATTCCCACTATTTGTCTTATCTGATCTCTTATAATGTTGCTACTGACAAGGAAAGAGGGACCAGAAAAACTGATTTTCCACTTGTGAGAACCTTCTGTATGCAATGAAGCATTTTATTTTTGTTAGTGAAGAGAATATTAAGTAAAACACACCCCCTTTACAGCCAAGTAGAGAAGGTGACAGGGACACTGGTGACTAATACAAGTGAGACAGTTTCCATCAGAGAAGAGCAAACAAGAAGGTGCAGAATACATGGAAGAAAATGGTCACCTCTGGTTCAGGAGGTTAAGCTTCAAAAAGGGAAAGACCTCGTGAAGGAAATGGAATCTGAGTTTTGTGTTGAAGAACGGTACCGATTTTTAATGGGCAAAGATCAGGGAGTAATCTTCCCATCCAGGCAGATGTAAAAGCAGGTAAAGAGGGCAGTGATGAAAGTCTGTGAAAGTGTTTATTAATTGGGGTTCAGGAACTGTATGGAAGAATAACAAAGACTAGAAACATTAAATTGGACCACAGTTAGAAGTCTGTGTGAGGGCAGTCCAGGTGAAAGAAGTTGTATCTGTTGAGATTTGCACAGAAATCTCCAGAGTTTTGAGCATGGGAGAGCATGAACAGAACCTCAACTTTGAAAGGAATAATTGATGACCGCATATAGGTGAGACAGGGCAGAGACTGGTGACAGGAAAGTCCACAGGGAGAAGAAGGGCCTGAGTTAGCAAAAGCCAGCAGGCAAGAAACGGAGGACAGCTTTAAAGATAGTTGAAGGTAGAATCAGTCATACTCCATAAATGACTGGATATTGAAGTGGGGCATGGAATAGACTTTGAGATCTCAAAACACTGAAAGAAATGGGGGAAAAAAATCAAGGTAAGGTATTTTGGAGGAGTTAAAATAAAAGATAAATTCGACCATGAACATGGTGAGTTTGAGATGCAAGCAGGACACCCAATAATCCTTCCAACCAGCATGGAGGATGGAAAGGGATGTTGCTTTCCTTCCATCATTAAATACGTACCGAGCACTGACCTGTGAGCCCAGCAGACTGAGGTGAGCTGTCAGGCAAGGCTGCTGCCTTCAGGGAACTGGCGGTCCAGCGGGGATGACAAATAGTCAACATATACCCTCTGAAATCATTACCTGTCCTTAGCTATCAGTGAAAGTTTTCCTCTTAAAGAGATATCTTAATTAGGTCCCCAGGGGTGAATAAAAGTTCTCCAGGAAAAGAGGCAGGGAGCATTATCCTGGCAYCTGTCTTGATGGAGAATGGAGCTTGATATGTTTAAAGAATTACAAGAAGGGTTCCTTGTGCTAAGCAAGGAAGGAAAAGTCGTTTGTTACCATCCATTTCAAAAGTGGTCCCTAGTAGAGCTGGAAAGAAGGGACTATATGGAGGGAAATGTGAAAAAGCATCTTTCTGGCTTTAAAATAATTATGATGAACTTGGTAGCCCAAATCTCTATTTCTCAGTCCTATTCCCTTCCCAGCCCAGAAAGCATGATAACTCATTTAGGAATAAATCAAAGTAACCAATCTGCATAATGCTGAAACCATCCACAGTGTGCTGGGAACATAGCATATGGCCAATACATGTTTTTAAATTCACCTGTGCTGGAGGGATATCTATATACATGAGAACCTTGCTCCAATGACCCTAGTTGATTTGTGCTATTTATATGCACATGCTAGAAAAGGTGAAAGAGGGATCTTATCTGTGCTACTTAAGTTCACCTTAACATTGGTTTATTTCTCACCTCTCGGCATAGCCTTGACACCCAGTTGAACTACCCCATGATTTCAGCTGGAAGTTTTGGATTGTCGTGTGACTATAAAGAAACCTTAACCAGGCTGATGTCTCCAGCTAGGAAACTGATGTACTTCTTGGTTGACTTTTGGAAGATCAATGATCTGCCATTCAAACCTTTTTCCTGGAACACTTCATATGTTTATAAGGATGGTAATGAGACTGAGGACTGTTTCTGGTAAGGAGGATCATTAACATTGTGGGGCACTTACCATAAAGTAAGCCATAAACTCATAGCAGATATCTGGTTATTATCAGATGTGCCTTTCATCTATAGAGCAGTGTAATGGACACACACACACACACACACACACACACACACAGAGAGAGAGAGAGAGAGAGAGAGAGAGAGAGAGAGAGAGACATATAAAAGCAAAGGTGTCAAAGCAAATAAAGTATCATAAAATAATCAGCATAAATCATTCATGACATACCTTCTAGTTTTGAAAGTATGTTCACATTAGTTTTATTGATTCTCCACAGTAAGTTCTCTGAAGAAAAAAAAAATAACTGGTACTATAAGACCAGAGAAAGTGTGTTCTGCCCATGCTACATGTACTTATCAACTGTAGCAAAAGTGGCAGAGAGATTCTTTTGGTTGGGTTACTGGCGGTGCTTCCAGAATGCTGCGTAGTTCTGCAGTCTCTGTCCCCCTAGGTTTGCAGAAGTATAAGATTGGATACCACAGGGATGCACCTCTGGGAAAATATAGGAATCAGCTCTAAGACCTCACCCTAGACACTTTGGGGTGAATGGAGAACACCAAAAAAAACCCATTTCACATAGGAGCAGAAATTATTTTTATCAACTCTGAGTTTTTGGACTGTACATTCAATGGCTTCTGGTTCATAGAGCAGAGTAAACCCTCCCTTCTATAAATAGCAGGAAGCAAGTAGAAGGGACCCATCAAATGCCTATTATTTCTATATATGCATGAAGATCCCCTAAAACTTCCTCTATACGTTCACTAAGTTAGCTGTCCACAATTTAAATCAGTGGTATAATGGTGTGTACTACCTATTGTGTTAATAGCAGAAATTAATTTTAAATAAAGTCCCAGGACAGATTTGCAAATGACAAGTGAAAGTCATGGGAAGGCCATGAGGGAAACAAAATTGTCTTCTTACTTTCTCCTTTTCCTGTTCAGGTACCTTAATGCTCTAGAGGCTGGAGTTTCCTATTTTTCTCAGGTACTCAGCTTCAAGGATACCTTGAGACGAGATGACCAGTTTCGGGATATCATAGTGAATCATAACAGGAAAAGCAATGGTAAAAATATAGGAAAACAATCTTTTTGCAAGACCTTTCCTCATGACTACCACCTCCTTCAGAGTCATTCTGACAAACTTACGACTGAATAGTTATCGTCATTACCTGTATATATTCTGTATATTTAGGAGATCTATAGATCTATAATTGCTTGAAACTTTATTATTTTGTTTCCTTCATTGATTAGTTAATTAGTTACTTCATTGTTTCACTTTTACTGTRTCTTTTGTCCTCTGAAAGAAAAACACAAAAGTAGGATTGAATAAATATATTCACATAATGAATATAGATAATTATGCTAACATCCAGCTTTTAGAAACTAAAATGATATCAAAAGCTATCATTGGTAAACTGCTAAGTGCACTTTAATCCAACATATTATTAGATTTGTGACTAATCCTCACATGTTCTGAACCCTGATCCTCCTGCTAACCAAGAAGATAAGTTTATTGATATACAGGCTCAGGAAAAATTACAAGGCAGCAAAGACCATCTCACATTCCTAATCTATATCTCACCTGCCCCATGAGTTAGAAGCCAAGTGTGAAAAACTAATGGAATAAAATCAACCTCATAAATCATTAGGTGATTTATTGCACTTTCCATAAAATTCTTTTTATAAACCAGAACATATCAGGAACAAAGGAATCAATTGTGAGAATTTCCTTGAAGAAAAGATGCTTTCTTGGCAGATTGTGTGAAATCACTCAAATAAACTGTTGTGATTAAGAATTTGCTATATTAAAACCTACCAGTTGCAAAGCATTAACCAAGATCTGAGGATAAAAGAAGTATAACATTATTCATGCCCTTAAATTCTTTACAATTCAACTGGACAAAAATGGCAAATAAAAAATGTTTAACGAAGCTCCCCCAACTCCTCTTTCTCACAAAACCGTGCATTTAGGAAATAGTTAGCTATGGTTTTTGGTAGAGCTTCCGATTGGATTCTGTCACTCAAATTTCTAAGACTGAGTTCCAAGTTAAAAAGCTACAGGCAAAGCCCAAGGAAAGTTGCTCAGAAGGACTTTATAAATTCTTTTCACATTCACTTTTACTGTATCTTTTCAATCATTTTCGAAATGGTAGGGTGCACTTCACTTCTCTGCAAATGACTTCTATAATGACTCCACCTCAGTGTAATGGAATAAGCATTCACAACTTGAGTTCTGCTCAGAGCTGTCTCAGTCGTCTCAGTCATCTACCAATCAAAGGACCCCTTTGGCTTTTGGCGTCAGTCTCCCTAAATCTATGAAATTAAGCGAACAGACCAAAAGATTTTTTTTAAAGAGAGAGAGAGAATTTTTTTTTTTAATTTTTAGTTTTTGATGGACACATCATCTTTATTTTTATATGGTGCTGAGGATCGAACCCAGCGCCTCGCGCATGCCAGGCGAGCGCGTTACCGCTTGAGCCACATCCCCAGCCCAAGACCAAAAGATTTTTAAAGATTCCATGCAGTCCTATTCTGACTTCATAACCATAAATGAAAAAGGGAATGAGATTTAGGGATTTGGTATTAATTTAAAAAAATATAATATGGACCTATTGTATTCAAATCCAGAAAACTGGTTTTTCTCCCAATCTTGTGTAGACAACCGTTGATTTCTCTCCTTGTTTTGCTTTCTCTCCTCCAGTAATTGTTATGTGTGGTACACCAGAAACTTTCAACAGCCTGAAGGGTGACCAGGAAGTGGCTGAAGACACTGTCATTATCTTAGTGGATCTATTCAAGTAGGTATCATACCTGGAGGGACTGTCCGCCTTTCAGAAAGGGAGTATTCCAGGGGCTTCCAACAGATACTTGGTCTTTGCACAGCCTCTTAAAGGGTTCAGTTTGACAGTAGTGTTTGAATTAAAGTTTCTTTCTCACCCTCATTCTCATATAATCAATTGTGAGCTTCGCAGGGATAGAGTCCTTTGGCACCTTCATCATTGCTGAATGCAAAATTTTATTAAAGGTCCATTAAATCCACGTTCATTCATCCATGAGACCTACTCATCAAGCTAGGATCCTGATTCCCACTCTGATTTTAAGGTCTTTGTCTAGGAAAAGATAACTCAATCAACCATTCAATAATATTATTCCTGTGAATATGGGCCTCATTTTGTTTTCTTCAGTTGCAAATGGCATTTGACCCCCTTTTACTTTTCTCTCTGGCCTCTTTGTTGAGAGTAAAGCTTTAGCTATGTAGGTTTGATTTGTAAAATTATTCCTTGCTTTCTAAGACCTAATCACTTGGTGGTAATATTTTCTTTGCACTTCTTTGGGACTATAGTATCTCAATAAGACATTAGAGTCCATTATATCAAGTTGACTGTTGTCCATATTAGCCCAGATGAGTCCTAGTTTACTCCTGTTGTCCTAGTATCCTATATGGTTGGAGCATTTGTCTGAGGAAAAGGGCTTCCACTTGGACACTAAATCATGGTCTCCTTATTATAATGCAGAACACATTGGACTTAGTCATTGTACCTTAATGTGATTAAATTTGTTGGATGCTTTCTATTCTCAGTCCCAGAGATGTGCAGAAGAAAAGATTGCCACCAAGTGACTTCTCTGCACTTTTTCTGCACTATGAATTCTGCAGAGTAGAAACCATCTTTTATCACAGCCTGTACATATTTTTAGCACTCATCTGTTAATATGTCTGGAGACTCACTAACAAGTGCCAAGGTAATATGAGTTATTCTAAGCATAAAGGAGGTGTTGCTGGTGTGCCGTGCCTGTGCCCCTTGTCCCATGAGTTGAATCATGTGACTACTTATCTGACTGGACCATTAATCATTACCTGTCTGCATTCAGACCTGAGGTGATTGCTGCTCTCCATCTCCCGGATATTAGCCTGGTCTTTACTCCCACACTAAGAGTACTTTTCCTAGTGTGAAGGGAAATGAATGCAGGCCTGTTTCACAGCTAGATGTTCATGAAGATTAACAATCAATCTAACCTTTTAGCTATAGAAGTATAGGAAGTTATCAACATTTCACTCCCACCAACACATTAATTCTAGTGACTGCTTTGTCTTCAATGTAGCCAAGTTGGTATAATTTTACTTTCAGCCAACCCTCCATCAACTGCTAAAATGCTAGTTTTCCTTTGTGAGTACTCCCCAAGGACTCATGGCTAAGTTTCAAGAACATCATGAGATTCAAAAATAGACCAATTTGTGTTCAAATTCTAATTCTGACACTTCTGGTCCTTTTGACTCTTGAGTCTTAGCATATTGAGACGAAATCTTCTCGTTTGTAAAATGAGAATTAAAATGTCCATTTTGTGCGTGTCCATTTAGATGTGATAATATGAGCAAGAGTCAGCATAGTCCTTAGCACATAGATGTGTTTAAACATTAAATGATGATCACTCTAGTGATAGCAGTTTGATCATGTTAGATTCTTTGCATTTTGAAACATCCAAACGATTAGGAAGCATAGAAGCCCTATAATTTTCAGAGCAATCTCAGACAGTATCAAGAGTCTGCAGTGTGTCAAGCGTCATCGGGGAGCTTATGAAATGAGGGTCAATGAGCTACTGTCCCACTTGTCAAGAAGCTTACAGTGCTAGAGAAAACGTTTACTTTTTATGCTCATGCTTTACCATCTGGAAAGTAAGTTTAATGATAATATTTCTCTGTACCATATCCCAATATCTCTAAGTTGTTAAGAGCACCCAGGGTCATTAAGCCTTTGGAGCAAGTATTGGTTCACATGTCTAGCACCCAAAAATTTCCCTCAAAGATGTACCTTGTATTCTGATTTTCTTTTCCATTTCCCTATGTTAATCACAACAGCCTAAGTTCTCTCATGCATCTTAGCAAATGTAGAGGGAAACACTTCTATCTGGGGGAGGTAGAAAATTTTGTAGATTACTAAACAAAAAAGTTTTAAAGTATTTTCCAGGCCCATGTTATATTTTCTATGAATTGTGGAAGATGCACCTCAGTTTTGGGAGGAACTTAATTTTATGAGGAACGTATGTTTTTGATTATAGTGACTACTACTTTGAGGAAAATGCTATAGCCCCTGATTATATGAAAAATGTCCTTGTTCTGACTCTGCCTCCTGGAAATTCCATGATAAATACCTCTTTCTCCAGGAGTATTTTACCGGTAAGCTGTGTGTGTGTGTGTGTGCGCGTGTGCTACTGGGGATTGAACCCAGGGCCTTGTGCATGTGAGGCAGGCACTCACACTGAGCTGTATCCCCAGCCCAGGTGCATTGCTTCCTATCTCTGGCAAACATGATTCTTCACAGACAGGCAGACCAAAATGCGTAAGGTAAAAGAACCACTTGGTCTCACTGGGGCAAGAGTGTTAATTCATTGCCCAGTTCTGTGAGGATCACCACGCAACAGCCACAGAGACAGAGGAGTTCTGATCTGCCCATTATTCTCCCCAGGGCAGACATTTGAGGCCTGAAGTCATACCCAGTCCTCAAAGTAGGCTTGGTAGTATTCTGTCACCAAAACTGTTCATGTCACATTCAGGATTCTTAAAGACAAGGTTTTTTTCGTGTGTGTGTGCCCATGTGCATGCATGTGTGTTCTTCTTTTTCGCTTTAATAAAACATTAAACTATGAGCAAGTATTTCTGTATAAAATCTTATAAGAATCATGGAAATGCTTTATGTTGACTTTCTTGGCTGCAGTTATTTCTTTTGTCACCTTGGGAAAGAAGTAAAGCTGCCTGTAGATACTTCCCTAAAGGAGTATTCTTATTTTATTGATCCCAAGAGAAAGCAGAATTGTGCCACTGGATAACAAAGAACACTGACCCAGGGAAGGGTCAAATATTCCTTTACCTTTCCAATGACCTGCTGATCCCAAGAACATTTTGCTGCAGTCTCAAGACCAGAATCTCTTTTGGGGAGGAGGATCCTTTTTAAGATTTTCCTTTCTTATTCAGGAAAAAAATGACTTTGCTCTTGCTTACTTGGATGGAACCTTGCTCTTTGGGCACATGCTGAAGATATTTCTTGAGAATGGAGAAGCTATTGCCACTTCCAAATTTGCGCATGCTTTCAGGAACCTCACATTTCAAGGTACTGGTCTCCTATAAGCAAACAGCTCAGCTGAAGAGATGTGGGCTTTGGGAAATGGGGCATGGTATGGGGGTGGTGGCGATTGATGGTTCAAGATCTAAGACCTTTGAACTCAACTAGGAGCAAACATCATTGCATCAATTTTGGGAATGCCACTATGGATAACTGGGCAGTAGTTTATACCTCAGACTTTCAGAACCTTTGGGTATCATAGAGTCAGCATGTGGCTCAGAAAGCATGAGCTCTCACAAGGCAGTTAGACAAGTGGCATCCTGGATATGCTCAGAGACTAGCAAGAAGAGAAATATTTGTAGTTTGATTTTGGTTCTTTATACTTCCCTTTCTATCCTTCAAGGATCCAGGACTCCGTCAAACCTCTAACTGCCCAAACCCCTCATAACAATACCATCCCAAACAACACATGTCCCTCCAAACTGCTGGGTTGACTTCGCCTTWATTCACAAGTCTCTATCCACATTCTCACCTTTCACTTCCCAGATCTTATCCAGAGATTATAAAGAAATTTTCCTGTTAGACATTTTTTTTTTTCCTCTAACTTGCCTTTAAAGTCTTACTCTGGAAAACCTTTGTCCAACTGCACAGAGAGTCTTCTGTCAGCTTCAGTGGGCAGAAGCTGCCTGGCACTAGATCTGGGGGCTGTACCAGGAGCTGTGGTTTATGACAATGATAAGAAGAGATCGTTTCAGTCCCCTGAAGAAGCAGGGAGGGAGAGAGAATCATGGACCCTTCCATGTGTCCCAAGTTCTCCCAGGCACTTCAGTGCATTCTTAATCTTCTTACCTCCATGATCCTGGTCAAGCATCCTAAGAGCCCCTGGCCCAGGCTCAGACAGGAGACATTTATTTTAGTCTTAGTTTAATGACCTATCAGCTTTACAATCCTGAGCAGATTACTTAGTATTTCTGAATGCAATTATACATTATTTCTTATGAATAACATAGAAATAATAATAGTTTCCATATCATGGTAGTCTAGGGAGAATGAAATGATAACTTCATAGAAAATACTTAGCACCGAGATGATTTGTAGTAAATGTGAGATAAGTGTTAGATTATCATGTTGAACCATGTGGAATTGCTGATTTGATCATTTTTAAATCCAAACAGCCATTTAATAGGTTCATCTTACACTGCTATTATTTCACAGATAAATGATAGTGAAGAGATTTTGTTCTTTTTATGGTCTAAGTTAGACTTATACACTATGGGACTAGGTTAGTAAATATTTTCAGCAAAAGTTTGTCACTAATAATTGAGGAATTTATTAACTGATTACATTTAGTGTCACCCTAAATGCAATGAAAAATATTTTTACCTCAAACAACATCTCCCACAAAAATATCCTTCAGAAATCTCAGGGTCAAGAGCCAATTCAAGTGTCCTCTGACAAGAACATTCAGCTTAACAACTTTTCAGCAAATTTGAAATAGAGCTATTTGAAACCTTTCTGTCGTGGTTTCAGGCAAGAAGTCAATAGTGGCCTATAAAGCTCTCTGATTTTGCCCTAGGCTATACGGGTCCCGTGACTTTGGACGACTGTGGGGATATTGACAATACTATGGTGCTTCTGTATGCCTCCATGGACAACCAGAAGGTACGTCTGATGGCTTATCAGGAAACATAGGGGTGATACACCTGGGTGAGGAGGATAACCTGAAGTAACATGATGAGGGTCGACAGCAAAGCAATTGGAAAAGTTATGCTTAGAATCTGAAGGCAGTTCATTTCCGTTTTATAAGTATACCCTACTTGGGGTAGTATTCCTTAAGCATTTTAGACCAAAGAACTTATTACCCAGATTATCAATTATATTTACTCTCCATACATATGTGTGTGGGAAAACACACACACACACACACACACACACACACACACACACACATATATATATAAACATCCAAAATATATTAATATAAGGATCAGAATATTTATTCATGGAATATCAATGAGAAGATAACAAGTCTCTCCTCAGAATTGCTTATTCATTTTCGCTACTCAAGATTTCTATGAGATAGTCTCTGTTCTCTCCATCAGAACTCCCAGGGAGATGGGCTGGGGTTGTTGCTCAGTGGTAGAACTCTTGCCTAGCATGTGCGAGGCCCTGGGTTCGATCCTCAGCATCACATAAAAATAAATAAATAAATAAAGGTATTGTGTCCAACTACAACTAAAAATATATATATATATATAGAAACTCCCAAGAAAATCATGACCTGTGCAATCCTTCAGGCACACAGTCAGACCCATAACGTTTTTGCCTTTATCTACAATGTATATCTCTTTTTTCCTTACCTCTATAGAAATTCCTGTAAAGAGAGGGAGTGGGTTAAACTCATCTTTCCATGTCTCCCGTGTTTTGCTTTTTATACAGCACCTAGGTGACAGCTGATCAACATTTAATTTAAAAAGAAAACACCCCACTTTGTCATCCAAAGTTGTGTTCATCCAAACTATGAAAGCCACTGTTCCAGCCAACCAAATGGTCAATAAAATGCTTTTTCCTTCAACAAATCAGATTCTGATATATCTGGGGAATCTAAGAGAAAAAGTCATGCATTTTTTTCATTTTCCAGAGTGAATGTTATGACCTGAGTGTATATATATTGACCTAGCTTTGCAAAAGACATCTACAATGACAAATGTGAAAAACTAGAGAAAAGATGTGCAGTTTGGGAAAGGTACACTGGAAATTTGGGGGCAACATTTCAGAGAAGTAATCTATAGTTTTTAGTTACTATAATGAACCTTTAATATAATGCTATTTTTGGAATAAAATCCATGGGAATACCTTAAAATTGGATCTTCTCAATGTTTCAGCCACTAATAGGAACTAGAAATATACCTACACCCTCCTCCAAGTATTTGCTTCTGGGATGATGCCCTCATGTCCCATGGAGAGAGGCAGACATGTATGATATCTTATCTCAGCCTCAGACAACTCCTCAAAGTGAAAAACTTTGCTCTCTGCATTTATCCACTCTAAAAGCAAATTTGGTTGAATTTTTCAATAATCTAATGCTATCAATTGTATTATGTATATTTGGGAAAACCAGAGATTACTTCTCAAGACAGCTACAGAGATGATAGTCCATATCCAAGGTAGTTTTCAGTAGAGATTCAATATGCCATGTCCTAATACATAAGATATTTCCTATCCTCAATGTATGCAATTATATATTCTGTTCTTAAGTGTAAAATTTTGAAAATGTTAACTATCTGTCCAGAGTATATTGAGGAAATGGTGGTAAATTTAGAAGGATGGTTATTTTTCCAATGTCTCAATATTTGCAATAATAATTTAAGAATATACCTTTTATGTTTCCTTTAGCAGATTACTTGAAAAATAAATCTTTTATTGTAGTAACTAATTAGTGTCATGTGTAGGGACCTAATGGGATAGAAGAGATTAGAAAATTATGAAATTGATAGAATTTAAGGAATGTAGAATTATCTCAGGATCCCTTGGCATGTATTAAAAAATGTTATAATGGGTTTTACCTGTGATATCTTTACTCATGATGGTTTCCAAAAGCAGCTTAATATTGTGGAAAACACTGGTGACCATGTATGGCGAGAATTGGAGTTGGCCATTAAATTTTTCTTGGACTCTGTTTTAACATTGGTAAAAATGAACGACGTGGACTAGTTCTCTAAAGAATCAAAGTAACTGTGTTGGGCAGAGACTAATGGTATTGTACATGGCCATAAAGATATATAATACTAATTGGCGCACATGGAAATTAAATCCATGTTCGTACACCACAGAACGCACTATCCAAAGTCCATTGATTTTAATGTGTTTTGGTTTGTAAACAAATTATAGTAATTTCTTGCACATTTTTGGAAATTAATTGTTTAAGAGTTTACATATCTGCTCCTAGATACAGTGTGTATATAAAAATTTTGTTCACAAGAAAAAAATAAATCCATGTTCATGCCATGAACCAATAAACAGATCCTAACTAGTTCCAAGCTTTTTTACAATTACCTTGTTCCAGTGAGAAGTGTTATTTAAATGCAAATATCATTGGGCAAGACAGGAGACCTCACCTGTTCATCCGTTTCTTTTTTTGTGCCCTGACACAGTACAAGATTCTTTTGACTTATGACACCCACACAAATAGTACCACTACAGAGGAGACACGCCCCTCATTCGTCTGGAGGAACCATAAACTTCCTAATGATATCCCAGGCCGGGGTAAGATATTCTGAGTGAATTTCCTTTCCCTAAAATTGTTTTTCTGGTAAGAAGAGTAAACTATATGGTTTATGAAGTTAGTTTATGATTATTGTTGTTTCGTTTGGTCCTCCAACTAAATTTTCCAGGTTTGTAAATGTGGACTTTATTTCCCTGAACCATGAATTACATTAAAGTTCTGATTAAACACGGAAAATACCCCTATTCTAATTTTGCCAGACCCATCTTTAAAAATGTGTTGTACCCTTGGACATAAATTATCCCATAGAAGTCTAAAGTTTGGCAATTGACAAAAATGAGAGGGAGACATGTACTTTTTCTCCATTTATATTTTACTGGGAAAAGTTCAAAGGACACCTATTTCAGCAATGAATACATGCTTTATCAAGCTGAGGTGTGGCTGGTGATTATGTTCCCTATCATGCCCCCCGCCATTCCTTCCTCGGACATATATTTCAGTTACAGTGAAGGTTTCCCACCCAAATCAGATGAGAGTCTCTCCATCATAAAAAGCCCTAACATGGCTAGGTTGTCACCCCGGCAAGATGCGAGGCAACTCTGTGACATTGATCATCAGCAGGTTGGGCAGGACAGGTATCTCCTCAGACATAAAGTGTTGGAATATTCTGTCCATGACTGGCTTTGGCCAGGACTTGAAATGATGATCAGTAATTCCATATTGTTAAACTGTCTTTAGGGAAAAAATTTTACATTTGGACAAATACACCCAAAGATGCAAAAAAAAAAAATGTAAATACCATTAATACATTTTTAAAGAAAATTATGAGACATTCTTAAGGGTCATCATGTCATCAATTAAAATAATTATTTGCAGAGAATTTTAAATGATAGGAAACTTACGATGCTGGGATCCTAACTTCGTTAAACATTGTGCAGAAATAAGATTGTAAACTGGGTGTGGTGGCTCACACCTGTGATCCCAGTGACTTGGAAGTCTGAGGCAGGAGGATCTCAAGTTTAAAGCCAGCCTCAGCAATTTAGCTAGGCTTTAAGCAACTTAGTGAGACCCTGTCTCAAAATAAAACATGAAGGGCCTGGGATTGTGGCTCAGCGGTGGAGTGCTCGTCTAGGCATTGTGTTGTGTCTATCTGCACCTAAAAAAATAAAAAATAAAATAAAAATTAAATTAAATTAAATTTTAAAAAAAAAAGGGCTGGGGATGTGGTTCATTGGTTAACTGCCCCTGCTTTCAATCCCAGGTACAAAGAAAGAAAGAAAGAAGGAAGATTCTAAAGAAACAGGCTAAAATTTTAACAGTGGTAGCTACTGAGTAGAATAATTCTGGAAGAAATACATTTTTCTTTTTTAGTATATTTCAGAATTTTCAATATTTTCTACTGATTATATTTGTTTATCACTTTTAAAAAGCATTTAAAAATTATAAGCTAAAAATATCTCTAACCCAGCTCTGCTCTGCAGCCAGAAATTCTGGAATTTTGATGTGCCTTAGGGGGCACATTTCTGCTTCGGTGGGCTTGCTTGTGCCAAAGCTGTAATGTCCTGGTTCTCTTTCACTGCATCAGTCACTTTTGGTTCAAAATTATTCCCGTGCTTTTATTCAAAAGACATTAGCAGTTGAGTAAAGCACAAAAGGAGGTGGGGTGGGGATGACAGTCTTTTAAACAACAAGCAATTTGGAACTGTTGGCATTCCTTTGGGAAGTTGGTTTTTCTTTAATCAGCTTTCTTTATTATCCCTAGAATGATCTTCAAGCTTCCTAGTTCTAAACCAAATCTGACTTTCTAAATAGCTCTTTCTTTTACCATGGGCTTCTAAAACTCTCTACTTTTTGTAACTTCTTGAATTAAAATATTATTTTCTTTCTCCTAATTACAGCTCTCAGTGACAATGTTGTTTGTAATTTTAGTATGGTTTTTATCAGTGTTTAAGTTTTTAGTTATTTAATAGAAGGCTGGGATTTTAAAGTGCTAAACTTCTCGAAAAATAATTTTTGAGCACTCTCATTATTTACTTAAAAGATATCACATGAAATATTTATATTTTGTAGCACAGAGGCATTATATTACCCTGGGCAACTTCACCTCACTTTCAGTTAACTAGAAAACTGAGCCAGAACTTTCCTTTACTTCCCTGTTACTATAGTTAGTTTTATACTTTACAAGTAAAATATACAAATAATCTAATAGTATACAAATAAGGAATGCATGCTTGGCCTTTTTTCTGTGTACACACTTGCTAACTAATCAGAATATTTCATCTGGCTATCACACCCTCACTGTCTATTCATTCATTTAAGGAAGAGTTAGTTAGTGCCCCAAGATGTGCTAAACATCTGGGATACAACAATGTGGATAATGCAGATCTGGCTGTATCCTCCTCAGAGCCCTCCTCATCTGCTTCCTGGATTATAGCAACATCCAGCTGCCTTCCTGCTCCAGTGCTCCCACCTCCAAGGCAACCCCTCACATCACCACACTGTTGCCAACACTTCTACCTGCAGAACAAAGTCCAAATGACTGAATAGAGTACAATATGCCCATGACCTTCCTATTTTTCCAGCCATATCTTTTCTCTTAAAAAAATCCCTTCCCCACTCTCAACTTCCTCCTACCTCCTTAAAGAAAGGTCATATAAATTTGTGCCCCTGTGTCCTTGTTCATGCTACTCCCTCTGTCCAGAATTTATTACCCTCCCCCATTCAACTGGCAAACGTACACTCATTTCAAGATTTAACTTTATTTAATTTGTCCTAACTTATTTCAGCAACCCAGGAGATTATTAATCTTATTTATCTTGCTCTTACCCTACCTGACTCCTAGCATTTATATTTGTTTACATGTCTTTTTATATTTTTTAAAGGTACAGTCCATTATTTATTCCTATCCTCTCCACCCCTCAACATACGCCTTGAAATCAATGAATGATGACATGCGATAACTGTATTTCTACACTGAACTCCAGCACTAATTTACACTGTGTTAATTTTAGTCATTTTTCTTCTCTAAGTGTGAGTTTCTTCCTCTGCTACAACAGGAGACTTAGGGTTCCTTTTAATCATAGTGTCATATGACCTTGCAGTTATAAGGTCATTTTGCATTCCTTGGGAAGAGATAAATAGGATGTAATAATCACAGTGACCACCAGGAGGCAGCCAAAGCTTAGCCTTAGAACTACTGTGACCCAGACAACCTAACAAGCAAAACTAAAAAGCATGTTGAATTTAAAACTATATTAAATTCTACATGGCATATTTAAATACTATGTGTAAATGTCATAATTACATCTAGCACAGTGAGATGTTGATACTGCAAGAGGCAGATGGGGCTTGAGATGGGCTGAGACCACCACATTCTCTCTAATTCTTGTGCTAGTCCAGGGAATGTGCAATTTTAGTAGGCCGCTGAGTGCAATCATCTGCACTGTTGAAACTGCATTTCTTGTTCTCACTCTTGTTATTTGTCTGGTGTGATAGAAGTGGGAGTAGTAATAGTAATGATGGAAGTGGTGATTGTAGTGACATACGGCCATCACCAAAGACAAACATGCCCACAATGTTACCTCATCTCCAAGGTATGAATTTATTTCTGCCCAGATGAGATAAATCCACAACTCACATTTTCACTGTTGAAAATTTCCTTTTAGCACAAAACAGGTAGTTAGAGGCAGCTGTATGGTTGCAAAGCTAAAACTTTCAAATGTACTGTACACCCTTAAAAGAGTGCTGCAACATTTAACCACACAAAAAGCACCCCACTTCAGAAAAAAAAGAATTACTTCATTAGAATATGATGTGTAAAATGCATATAGTGTGTAACCGAAGTCTAACAGCATACCAGTTTTTGACATGAATTTATGTGTCTTAATATTTGGATTCCTTTCCCTAGCCTCTTTCAGATAGTAAGATGAGCGAGGCCAAACTTTAATTCAATTATTTTTTCATTCAGTCATTTTCTTTTTTTTTTTCATTCAGTCATTTTCAATTGATATTTTACCAGGTCTCAGGCCTGATATGTGCTAAAGATACAGGAACAGACAAGTAGATCATGGACCATAGTCTCAAGGATTCTGTGTCATGGTGCCATGACAGGGAAGATAGGAAGGGAGAGCTACTTTAATAGAGGGATCTTGGTGTCTCCTCATCAGAGCACCTTCATTAATTATATTCTTAGCAAAGAAAAATTCTTGTATGTGATTTTTCAGTCCAGTAGTAGAGATGTTCACAATGGAAGGTGAGCATGTCTGGTCCCACCTCTGTGTGTCCCCAGACTCTCAATGTCTTCAGCATATTTCTAAGTAATGTTTCTTGATTTAAAAGCTCTAGATGTTATCTATCTTTTGTATTATGAATTAAGATTTAGTTCTTCACTAGTCCTCCTTACTTCTCAATATCACCTTTTTTGTCAATATATTTATTAGGTATTTAATTAATATACATGAGCTTCTAGTGTTGTTCAATCAACTGTTTATAAAAATGTCTTGCTCCCCCACTTTGTGAGATGAAGCTAAAAGTTCCCCAATTGTTCCTTCTACCCTCTTTCCATCTCCCATACTCTCCTTTATCTCTCTTTAATTTATCAAGGTTGTTCATATTTATTTGGCAATCATATCATAGTTCTTTGGTCTTTACCTATAAGTTGATTCTATAAATTGAAGTAAGTAAACATTTTCATCATTATCATGATGTAAATATTTACACAAAGCTAAATATTATGCTGTGATAACATTTCTTTATATATGATTCCAAAGCTTCTCTTTTATACCACACAAAAGATAAAGAATTGTCTCTCCTTTTTAAAATACACAAAATCAGGCCTCATTTTACTTTGTTTCATTTTTGGACTCTGCCTTTCTTGAACATTTTTCCCTGAGAGTTTCTCTTTGGGGCACCTCTTCTCTCCCTCCTTTCTTTCCTTCCTCCCTTCCTTTCTCTCTCTCTTTATGTAGAAAGAATTGTGTCTTCACCATATTTCTATTATTTTTTAGCTTCTTACACATTCTATTTCTTGGAATCCATTCCATTTGGAATCCACTGATTTCCTTTCCCAACAGGGATGCAGTGTGGGCTGTGTGAGCCATGATTTCTCTGTATGGTTTTTTGATGGTGGGCCTTCTCCTCCCAGGCATAGGCCTTCACATTCTCAGACTCTGCTTCAAAGCTTCCTGGGGGTGGATCCTCATTTTCCTGAATTCCACTAACTTTTCTGAGAGTCTCTCAACTTACTCCGTCTACTTAACTCCACCCATACACTAGTGTTCTAATAACGAAAATCACATTCCTCACTGACTACCTCAATAACCCAGAGAGCTTGGAAAGAACCAGCCTGCAACGCTGTCATTAAACAGTCTACACCGACTCTTCTTCCAACATGTGTTCTGCATTTAAAAAACTCACTGTCTGTTTCTTCTCTGTGCAACCTCCTGGGGTATACTGGTTTCAAGGACAGCAGGTAGGCTTCGACTCCCACCATTATTTGTGTGCTGGAAACCACTTTATGTTCTTATAACCATTGGGTGATTCCTGTTAGAGATAAAAGAGAAATGTAGGCTTCAAGGAGAGCTGAAATGAAACTGCTTTCCCTGGGCACATGCCAGACTGCTTTTTTTCAGGACTGGAACACAGGACATAAATTACCAAGAAACAATTAATTAAAAAAAAAAATGTTTTTCAAAAGGGCTTTCTCTGTCCCTTCCCCAACTAGAATCTGTGAAATGTTTTCATTCTCTTCTCAAACATCCTGCTAATGCATTTTCTACTCTTTCCTGCCACAGGCCCTCAGATCCTGATGATTGCTGTTTTCACACTAACAGGGACAGTCGTGCTGGTCCTGATCATTGCTCTCCTGGTGCTGAGGTACCTCCCCTCCTTGCCACAGAATGGTCCTCGTTCAGAGGAGGAAGGAGGCAGAGATCTGACTCTGCTGCTCGCACATGCTCACAAGGAGATCTCTAGACAGACCTAAGATCATGAAGGCATTCTGCATCCAAGACGACAGAAGGACAGAATATGACCTGGGGGGCAGATTAGAGCTCTGAGTCAAACGCCTGAACTCTGACCCAGTTCTGTGCTTTACCAGTTTTGAGGTCTCAAGCACACGTTACTTAACAACTTAAACAAGTTATTTTGCTTCAGTTTCTTCCTCTGAGCTGCCATGAGAATTAGAAATGGGTCATGTATACAGAGTGCAATATAATAAGCATTATGTAAATGAAAACTAGCTATTCTCACTGTTTTATTGGCATATTGTGGGAGATTTTAAAATCATGGTACTACATGATATTTAGGTTGCGAGAGGATTTAGAGATCATCTATTCCAAATTTCCTATTTTAGCAGGAAGGAAGTGGGCTGTTTTCTTCAATCCAAAGGCAGAGCTAGGATCCTGTAACTGTATTGCTTAGAAATATACACAATAGACAGTGTGACCATTTAGTCAAGAATGAGCAGAAGCCAAAATTTCCTTCAGAAACCAAGTCCAAATGAGAGTCAGCTTAAGAGAGGAGCAAATTGCAAGACAAAAGTGACACGTATTTCCCATTGTTTCTAAGCATGGGAGGCAGAAAGAGGACTTCCTCATGGCCAGAGTCTCCTCTAGGGGACCTGGCAAATAGTTGTCATTCATGTATTCTTCCAATATAACAAGAAAAGTAGTAAATGGTCTATAGAATCCCTAATTCAATATGAATGACAGTTGGTTCTGTTGAGTTCCGAGAGTCTGCATGGGTGCTTGGCTGCCTTCAATGTCTCAAGAGTCATTCTCCATGCTCCCAGTCTTACTGTAAAAATAACTGGTGAATACTATGCTATTTATGTGTATTTAATAGAGCTGGATGGAAGCATAGGAGGAAAATAATGATTTCTGCTTAGGAAAGTATAAGAAAGGCATTATAAATGAACTTGAAAAGGTGAGGTGCAGTTTGTCAAATGACTTAAAAACAAAAAGGTATTCAGGGACAAATAGGTCAACGGAAAAGACGATTGATTACAGAATCAGACTCAAGCAAGTACAGGGACTTGCTTATATTACAGAGATAATATTACAAGTCAGTTAGGATGTGATATTGGGACAGTAAGCTTCCCACAAGTAAAAAATGAAATTAAAACTACATGAAATTGGCTGGGTGTGGTAGCGTGGGAGGCTGACACAGGAGGATCATGAGTTCAGAGCCAGCCTCAGCAACTTAGCAAGGCCCTAAGCAACGCTCAGTGTTTCAGCGCCCCTGTGTTCAATCCCTGGTAGCAAAAACTAAAAGAAAAAAAGATCTGCATGTGAAAAACCAACTTCAGAATATAGAAGAAATTTAGGAAATGACTTTATGAAGTCAGATTAGGAAAGTGTGATTCAGTCATTGATTAAAAAAATGTCAGAGAAGAAAACTCGATAAATATGTAAAATCAAAATTTTCCATAAAGCAAAGTTAAAAGAATAAACTGTGAGAAGGTTTTAACATAAAAGGACTTGTTTTTCAGAAGACATAAAGAACTCACAAAAGTTAATAAGAAAAAGAAAAGAAAAATCGCATAATAAAAAATATTAGAGAAATTATAAGTAAATGATTCTATGATTCTATATATTCTATAAAATATGTAGCAAATATTTCAAAAGACCATCTCTGTAGTAATCAAGGAAATGCAAATTAAAGCAAAACTGACACACCATTAACATGCATCATAAAGATAAGGGAAAAAATTAACAATACTAAATATTCTTAAGAACATGGGAAGGTAAATTGGTGCTACCACTGTGGGAAGTAATTTGGCAATATCTGTAAAAGCTCCAAGTGAGCTTTCCCAAAAACTCAAGAATTCTTCCTCATGTGCACTATAGACAAGATTCTAACATTTTATAAATTGGGACACATGTTGTTGCATTGTCTCTGTGCTTTTTCATTTTCTCTAAACATAAGGCACAGATGTGTAAAAAGAACTGGCTTACGTAGAATCTGGTGTGTTTCGTTGGTGGTTTAAAAATGAACATTTCTGCCATGTAAGGCTATCAGTTTTGATTTTTTTCTGTTTTGTTCCCTCATGTTTCCATGTCATTGGTTCAGACCCTTTATTATAGTGAAGGATCAAGGAAAGTAAAATGAAACAAACACAAAAGAACAGAGAAGTCCACGAAACCTCCTGTGGGTCCACTAATGGCCAGCACTGGCCAGTTTGGGGCATGGAGAGTCTCACCACTGAGCTAGTCTTCCTCAACACATGTCTGCCTGAGAAAACCAGGGTCCTAAATTTCTCCTGGTGTTCAGAAATAGAACAGCATGGACACTAATAAAACCTATCAACCAATTCTGTTCCTTCCACAGAAAATATAAAAGAGATAATCAACTTCGTCAGAAAAAATGGTCCCACATTCCTCCTGAAAATATCTTTCCTCTGGAGAACAATGAGACCAACCAAATCAGCCTGAAGGTAAGGCCTGCCTGACCTGTTGGACAATGGTGCAGTTTGCTAGGTGTTTGACAAGACTTTGGCAGCATGGTAGGAAATGGTCCAATCTTAGTTTGTGCTAGAATCCAAAAGTTAGATGCTTTCTACTTTTCCACCTCCTATTTCTCTTGATTCTTCATTGATCTAATGCCAGCTCTTCAGTCCAGTGAACACTTCACTGGAGGCTGAGTTACAGAGTGTTACTGGGTTTTTGCATCTGACCCCACGAGAAGCAAGACATGCACTTGCTGGGAATTTGTCATGGAAGGGATATAGGAATGGGAAAGGCATTTGAATTCCCCCAAACCTGGGATACTAATCTACTTCTACTAAGGACCTATCACTTACCTTGCTCATTGCTGAAGAAAGAGACTTCTGTTGATGTTTGTTCAAATTCGTCCCCAACCAGGAAGTACAATCAGTAGCCATTATTAACAACTCACCCCATTTACTGCAGTTGATGCTAGACCTGTGTTTCTCATCTTCTCTTCACAAGGAACCAGTGAGTTGAGCTTTATAATCATAACTTTGCTGATAAGGAAGTTGAAGACCAAAGCATTAAGAAACAGTGCAGGGTCACCTACAGCGAGTCAGTAAGATTACTGCAAATAATGACAGCTAACACTTAACTGAACACTATAACACTGCAGATACTTTAACCCATTGCATCTTCCCTGAGCCCTTGAGGTAACAGATGGAATTTCAGAAACAATTACAGTTTGAACCCAGTGTGCCTGTGAAGTCTAAGATCCTAACACCTATATACTGCAATTACAAGGGTCTTTATATCAAAGTATACTAAGAAGGAATGGAGACCCAGGACCTTCACGTAAGGGCATTTGTAGACTTTCTCATAGTAGGACCAACCTGATAAGGTAGTGCTATTTGAGATGCCTCCCTGCCCAAAACCAGCAGAGGAGAACTTGAAGCAGCAAGTTCAGCCAGGTTTATCTTTGACCCCTTTCTACCAGCCCCTGACACCCTACCCCAAGTACTGCACTTGGGCTTCTAAGAGCTCATATCCCCTCACAGCTGAACATGGATGAGGTCTTCCTTCCTTCAGAAATGCTCCTTGCTCCAAAGTGACCCTTCGGCTGCATTCTGAACCTCACTCCTGAACACTGTGTTCACAAGGACCAAGTATCTCATACAAGTGTCATGGAGGAATCAAGCTTGCAGTAATTCACAGTAAGGTGCAAAGAACCACAAGACTAATTGACTTCCAAAGAGAGAATTTGCTGACAGAAATGACTGACTGGAAGTACCTGCTGGTAGAAGAAATATTTTAGACAGATTCAATTTTGCAGATTATTATTTGAGCAAAAAAATGATTCATCAATTGGGAAACACTGAAAACCAAAAGAAAGTCAGAGAGCACTCTGCAGTGTGGGCAGTGAGCTTTCTTTCACAGGTTATACAAAGAAATAAGTTCATTGGTTATTGCTAGAAGTTTGCCTGATCTGAGCATGGTCTGATCAGTTGGCTGCCTGTGATTGGCTGAAACTCAGCTACTTGTTACCAAAACGTTTTCTTAAATAAGGTTTCTGTTTATTTATGTATGATGATGTAAGTTAGACTGTGGTTTGATACATAGGAACTCAAAATACTCAGGCAGCCTCAGGTCAATTACCTCCTGCTTATTTTGTTTGACACTAGGAGTAGCTGAGGAGATTTTTAAGTGAGTGCTCCTGTTTCTGAGATGACACCTGGATAGGTTCCCACATGTTCCACCTCTGAAAAACCCTACCTAGGAAACAATCTCTACTGCCTCAAAACCCCACTTTGATCCTTTGGTTTAACCTTTAAACACTGTATCTTTGTGTGTTTTTTTAAAATCTAAACATTTCCAGCAGTAGAAGGCATCGTCCATTGCCAGTTTCTTGCAGAATTTTAGAGTACAGAATATTGAATAGTTAATTTATCAGGTTAGTCACTCCCAGGGCTACCCAATAAAATTTTGGGAAGTAAATTCAAAGGAGGGAAGTCAGAAATGGTTCCTAGCATGGAGGTATCATTCTTGCCCTGAGTTTAGATAGCCTAGGGAGCAGGAAGACTGGGAGAGGGCTATAGAGAGAGTTCATCAGATGCTGTGAATCAGACAGAACAGGGAGAAAACTCAAGGTCAGAATGAGAGGAAAATACAACCAGACAGGTAATAGTTCAAGTTTGGGATACTCTCTGAAGACAGAAAAAAAGGAAGACAGTCTAAAGGATGAGATAATAGTCAAATATCCCAGTACTAACATAGAAAGCCAGACCAGAGAATCAGACAAAGAGAAGTCAGGAAAAACAGAAAAAGAATGATTAAAAAAAAAAAAACAGAAAAGAATGATAAAGATGATGATATCTCATTTTCGAATAAAAAGAGAAATCCTTACTGGGCATAGAGGCACATGCCCATAACCTGTAATCCCAGTGGTTTGGGAGGCTGAGGCAGGAAGATCACAAGTTCAAAGCCAGCCTCATCAACTTAGTGAACCCCTCTCTCAAAATAAAAAGAGGCTGGGGGTGGCTCAGTGGTTAAGTGCCCCTGGGTTCAATCCCCAGTGAAAGGGGAATTGGGATCCTCTAGCTTGCAAGAAAAATTTCACCAACGGTGTCTAATTTGATCACCAAGTACCCTTCTGAATAAGGATTGCAGGGTTAGGAAATGAGATTCAAGTAGTTTAAATGACCTCATTGAGGTCAGAAACAGTAAAAAGAACACTGGACAAGAAGACAAGCAGCCTAGCCTCTGCTGGTCTTCTAATGTGGCATTTAATGTCATTTAACCCTTCTATGCCTCATTTGTAAAATAAAAAATAACAATAACTGATGTTGGCACCTAGCACAGGCTGGCTGCCCAATACGCAAAGAAGCCAAATAAGAAGGCGCTGGGTATCTGCAAAAGTAAAAGGCTTTATTCTGCTGCAGACTGACAGGGCGACCAGGAGACATCAGCTCAGATCTGCCTCCCAGATCTTTGAGTCACAGGGCAATTTTTAAGAAAAGAGAGGAGAGAGCTGCTGAGAAGAGAGAGTCTTGGCAGCTATAAACAAATCAGTCAACCTGCCTCTTCACAGGCCATGTATTTCTTTGGGGTGGGGTGGGGTGATTATCACATTCTGTGGGGGATTTTGAGGTCGTTGACCTGATGAGCTGGCTACTTCTGCACTAGTGCATTCTTGAAAAGCTGGTTTCAGACTGTCCTTCAGTGGATTCCAGAGACTGCCTAAAAGACAACTAAGAACTTTGTTATTTAAAAAGTTTGTGCTGGGGTGTAGCTCAGTGGGAAAGTGTTTGCCTAGCATGCATGAAGCCCTGGGTTCAATCCCTAGTCTGGGCTTGTCTAGGCCTTAGCAGATTCAACATTTATTCATCTGCATGGTGTCAGGAATCATGATTGGACCTTGAAATATTTCACTCAAGTTTCAAGATGTCCTTGTAAGGTAAATTTTAACAAAGATAAACATACATACCAGATTTAAGAACCAAACTAAAATATACACTCATTCCCAATCTTTCCTCTGTCTTGAGACTGGAAATCTTTAACTGGCAAACCAACAGCCCTATCTAGCCCACAGGTATCAGTGTTTGTGTGTGTGTGTTGTTCAGTATTTAACATTTTAAAAATCAATTGCCAGCATATAAATATCATGGTGTAGCATGTAAAAATCTACATTTATCAACCAGCTTCTTTTGACAAATCAGATGATCTGACAATTCTGAGCAGAACCCAGAATTGTTGGGACTGCATCTCTTTAGGCACATCTGGCCCATTTGCCTCATGAGCACTGCTACTTGGACTTTCAAGCATTAATTTGCAACTGAAATAAATGCATAGCATCTTCCTTTATCACCATTCCTTAAGAGCATTTGTCTATACTATGGGCAATAATTCACCGTAGGAGGGGGGTCAGGGAAGAAGGAAGAAAGAAAATCCATGGCTGAAGAGAGAAATCGAGGAGAGCCCAGTGTTAAGGAGGATATAGTCAATACTGGGAAGAAGAGGTTGGAGTGAGTAGTGGGAAGGAAAGACAAGTCAGTTACCCCAGTGTTTCTGGGATGTTGAGCAAACAGCAGATACAGCCCAGCGGGAAGAGCCTCTCAGCCTTTGACAGGCAGTGAATGGGACAAATCAGAAGTTCTGGAATAATTAGCCTTTTCTTGTGCCAGATTGATGACGACAAGAGACGAGATACAATCCAGAGACTTCGACAATGCAAGTATGACAAAAAGGTGACTCCAGTCTCCCCCACTTCTCTGAACTCTAACTGGGAGTAGGTTCTGAGTCATCACGGTCCCAGCCCTGACTTTGCAAGGGGGATAGTGGGTGAGGGGTTTGCGGGGGAGATGTTTCCCAGGTTGCTTCAAAGGGCCGTTTGTAGAGCTTCATAGGATAGGCAGGGCTCTGCTTGAAGGTTACAAAACTCACCATCCTGGGGGAGCCAAAGGATAAGTTAACTATTTGGAGGGAAACAGAAATATGAAATAGATTCACAGCACTGAGGGCAACCCTAATATTGTATTTTGGCTCATTCTTGAGAATCCCATCTGGGAGTTTTGTATCTTCTTGCCCAACCTCCTCCCATCTTCATGTTTCCCCTAGTCATTTTGCAAGAAACAAACAAACCTAAACACCATATCCTAAACACCAGGGATATAAACAATAATCAAATGTCACTGCTCAAAAAAACTTACAGTCTAATAGGACATAGGAACAAATTATTATAATACCCATTTATATGAGGAATTACATTGCAACAGTAACTCCTTAATTCAACTGATCTTTGCAGCGAGTGATCCTCAAAGATCTCAAGCACAGTGATGGCAATTTCAATGAGAAACAGAAGATAGAACTGAACAAGGTATGTGTCCTATACTTCAACCCCTTGAGAATTAACCTCATTCCATTTTCCCTGAACACAGAGGTCCCCTGTGGAGAAATGTCTTATGAGAAAGAAATGAATGACTTAGCTACTTTTTGAAAACTCTGCCTAGAGATGTTGGAGGGTGAGATTTTACACTGTAAAAACTCTGGAAATATGCTGGTATGTTCTAAAATACATTCTTAATATTATTTGAAAGTAGTAAAATTTGTATTCAAGTCACCTTGCTAGCAAAGGAAAGACTGCTGAATAAGATGTAACACAATACATAGTAACAAATGGGTACTGACATTCAATTTATTAAGAGCAATGCATCTTCCCAAATGAAACACATTTTGCTAGCATATGAATATTTTCTCTGGTTCCGGCTTCTGGTTGATATGCTTTATAAACACACATGTTCTCTTAGCTGCTTCAGACTGACTATTACAACCTGACCAAGTTCTATGGCACAGTGAAGCTTGACTCCAGGATCTTTGGGGTGATCGAATACTGTGAGAGAGGATCCCTCCGGGTAAGAAACCAGCATCATTTTCAATTTCCTAAGTGGTCAACCATATTAAAAAAAAAAAAATCAGATCTTTAAAAAATATTTTACCAGGGGGATAATACTATAGAGTTATCAGGAAAAGTTGGTAGACCCACATACTTTTCAAACTAGATTCCTCAGATTTTATCAATCAGTCCTATAATCTCTTTACAAAGAAGTCAAAAGATATTCGGAAAAGGAATATAGATGGGAGAAAAAGGAACAGAGAACAGAAGTAGGAAAGTGAGTGGTTACTTCAAAATACACTTTGTGGTGTGTGTTGGGCAGGTTGGGCAGTTAGTGGGGATTGAACCCAGAGGTGTTCTATCACTGAGCTATATCTCCAGCCCTTTTAAGTTTTAGTTTGAGACAGGGTCTTGCTAAGTTGCTAAGGCTGGTCTTGAACTTTTGATTCTCCTGCCTTAGCCTCCTGAGTAGCTGGGATTACAGGCGTGTGCTCTCACACCTGGATCAAATGCATTATATTTTACTTAAATACATTATATTTTACACTTGTTTTTGTATTGAAAGATCAATGGATAGTTGTTATCAGAGCACCAAATAAGCACAAGAGGACTTGTTCATAAGTCCTGATCTGCTCTGGTCTAAATTCCTACCTGCTCTTCCTTGTGAGGGGACTGAAGATAACCAGGAGTTCCCATGGTCAGGTATTCTAGCTGAGTGGGTCCAAAGCAAAAAGAAGAATACGACAGGACTGAGTAAAGTTCATAGGAAGAACCAAGCACTAAGCAAAGAGTGTCAAATCATCACATAGTTCTGAAGGGCAAGCATAGTTGATTTGCAAAACACAAGAGTCAGGTGTCAAACAGAAACAGGGATTGAAAAGGGCAAGAGCAGAAAGGACTGTGGGACAATGACTTCAAAGGACACTGATACACCTGAACCAGACTGAACGGTCTATGGGCATGTGCCATGAGGGCCCAAAGTAGGGTGACCCAATGATTTATCAGGATACCTTGATAGTGACGGGATGTTATAATAATGATCCTAGAATAACAGACACAAAGTGTAACTGGACCAAGAAAATCAAGATGTGTGGGTAGTCCTGCCTTTGGATTATTTTCAGTACCTCTTAGGAACCTCATGTCCTCATAACAAAGCCAAATTCCTAAGCCAAATTCCTAAGAAGCTTTGGTAACTTCAAAGAGGTTTAGATATTCATAACTCAATGAAATTAAAAAATAATTTTTTGTCAAAACTAATAATTTGGAAATTATGAATTGTTTAATGGGCTTCAATTAAACAAGACAAAAAACAAAACAAAAAAGCAAAAACACTAGCTTTCCAAATATGTGGCATAAACCAAAATCTATCCTCAAAGAAAAAAACTGTAACTCTAAATGTGACTCTTTCTTAAACAATAGTAAATAATGTAGTTATTCAAAACTTAGAATAATAACTACGGCCTAAGGGGAAGAAGATGTTCAATATCAATCATTATAAAACAAAATAAAATTCAAAATGCACAGAGTTTAAAAAAAAACTATGAAAACATATAAGCCTCTTACTTCTAATTGTGGTTTTAAAAATAAACATACAAATACTTAAAAGTAGGAATAATAAAAGCAGTGAAAACATGTAGCAATGAAGTGTTTTCCACAATTATAATTGTGGAAAACAATTATAATTGTGGAAAACACTTCATTGCTACTAAATTATAATATCTTTGAAAAGAAAAAACTTCAGAAGTAATAAAATCATGAAGATCTGACTCAAAAAGTAAACTTTTAAGTAGGCCAATTCTGAACCAGTTTCACTAATACTTCTGACATAAGATATATGAGGTTTTTTCATCCTAAAAGACTTAGTTCTTCTACTCTGGATACTAACTAGGTGTTCAGTTCAATTTTTTTCAATGAACTCCTGGAGTTAGCATCAAACTCTACAGGTTAAGGGCTCAGTCCCACAACTGTCCCTATTTCAGACCCCAGTTGCAAATCCCAGGCCTCTTGTACTTTGACCAACCAGCTGAAAATCAGGCATTCGTATGACTCCCTTCTTGAGTTTGATAATTTGCTAGAATGACTCAGAACTCAGAGAAAAGTTATTTACTACTACTGGTTTATTATAAAGTCTATTATAAAGACCACAGACAAGCAGCCAGATGAACTGTAATGCCAGATTCATGGGACCCCAATAGACCTCTAGGAACCGAATCCAATGCAATCACACAAGAGTCTTTATTGCAAGCTCGAGCCTGGACTCACAACCGTTCCCGACGCAGCGGTCCCAGGGAGTGAGTCCTGGTCCTTTGTTCAGTGAGATTTTATAGGTTTTGGGGGGATACTCTGTGCATCACAACATCACACAGCAAATCATTCCACACTGAGAGAAACTCAAACAACAACGTTTAACATTGATTAGCACATTCAATGGCGGGAACAAGTTGGGTAGGGGTGATTGGTTAGTACAAGAGGGGGATTCCTTTGAATTGATTGGTTTAGGCCATGAGGGGTGTACGTGCTAAACTACAAGGTTTCCCCACATGTTATCAACCACCATAAACTACTGGGGGATCATCTGGCATCCCAGGTATTTTCTCTATCTCATGCTGATTGGTGGCTGCTAGGAGGTTGCTATGGGTCCTCACCTAGCCTAACTGTGTCAAGGACACCTGGCGCAGCAGATCTCTCCTTTTATTTGCAGACAAACAACTCAACAGGGTGGGTATGTGCCTAGGAGTGCTCTGTGGGTTTTTCCAAGGACAAGGGTCATGCCACCTTCCTTGGACAGGCTTTGCTCTGAGGTAGAGGCTGGTTTCTCAAAAATGGAGTCACAGCAGTTTCTCATAAGAAATACCTAGGGAAACTTCCCAAAGATCCCAAGCACAGGCACTTCTGTCCCTAGAGACTTGGGTTGTGCCACCCTCCTGGCCTGTAGATGTGTTGGCCTACTTGGAAGCTTTCAAATCCTTTCACTTAGGGGACTTGGGGGAAGTTCCATCACTGAGCCACAATTGATTAAACCATCCACCATTGACAGTTAACTCTATTTCCAGCCCTTTCTCCTCCCTGTTAGTGAAAGGGGAGGGACAGGGCCAAAATATCCACCCTATAATCATGTCGCTGATTCTTTCCAGCAATTAGTCCCTATCTTGAAGTGGTGTAGAGGCTCACCGTGTTAGCTTTTCATCACTGAGACAAAAAATCTGAGAAAATCAATTTAAGGAGGGAAGATTTATTTTGATTCATGATCTCAGAGGTTGCAGTCCACGGTCGCTGGCTCCATTGCTTTCAGCCTGTGGTCAGGGCAGATATCATGGTGGAATCACTGGTGTGGCAGAGCAAAGGTGCAGCAAAGGTAGCAGCCAGGAAGCAAAAAGAAAGCAAGGAATGGGGTAGGGGCAAGAAATACCCTTCTAGAGCATGGCCCCCTGTAATCTACTTCTTCCAGTCATGCCCCCCACTCCAGTTTCCACCACCTCCAAGTAATCCACTAATGAGGATTAATCCATTGATAAGTTCAGAGCCCCCAAGATCCCATTGCTTCTCAAAAGACTCACCTCTGAACATTGCTGCTTTCGTGTTAGATGTACATGGAAGATAAATAAATTTACATAGCAAGCTGGTTCTACGCCCAAGATATCTCATTATGTATATATAAATGTTCTAAAATTGGGGGAAAAAATCCACAATATGAAACATATCTGGTTCCAAGCATTTCAGATAAAGACATTCAACATGTGCTAGCTCAAGGCTGATTGTTAAATATTTAGGAACTTGTTAACTAGTCAGTATTGAATTCTTGGTGGCTGAAAATATTTCAGATGGGAGCATTGCACCATAGAGTCTGCAAGTATTTAAATCAGGGCTATTTTCATAGAGACACCAGTTTATTCGCCTGCCACAGATTGTAATTTATATGGAAATATAAAAATTCTAAAAACAAAGAATTTCGAATCAAAGGCAGACTTTTTCCCCCCTTTTTGTTTTTTGGTTAACAAAGATCATCAGGAAAAAATATAAAAGAACAATAATAAACAAAACATTTTAACAAAGAAGAATAATGAGAGGCTACTTGCCAGAAAGTTATAATAAAAGCAGTCTAGTAATAGTTCATGAATAAAGACATGATTTATGGAAGAAAAATGCATGGTCCAAGAATAGCATTAGTATATTGTCAAGTTTGGTGAAAGGGTAATTTAGTAAATAGGGCTGAGATAATAGGACCCTCAGACTTTTCATCTCGCTTCCACAAGAGGGACTTTGCCGGAGCAGTTCTCTCTCCATAGAACTTGCTTCCCTACTGTGTCCAGATCTCAGCTTTACTCACACTTTCTGAAGGAAACATCTTTGACTTACATAACAAATTCCCAGAGTGTAAGGGTCAATCCTCAGATTTGTAGTCCCTTTTTATAGTACTTATCATATTTATAATTTCATATTTATTACAGTTATTTTACGAGTGTCAGTTTCCCCCACCAGATCATGAATGCCCTAAAAGGGCCCACTGTAATCCTAGCACCAAACTCAGGGCCTGCTGTATACACTCTCAACTATCTCTAAGGAAATAAATAGATCACCTACTAAAATTGATCAGAAAACAGCACATAAACCTACATATAGGACTGGGGGTGTGGCTCAAGCGGTAGCACGCTCTACTGGCATGCGTGCGGCCCGGGTTTGATCCTCAGCACCACATACAACAAAGATGTTGTGTCCGCTGAAAACTAAAAAATAAATAATATAAAAAACTTATATATTATGGTCCCAATTTTGTAAGATAGTACATATACCTTATGTAAATGAACATTGAAGAGGAATAGAAGGAAATACCAGAATGAGAACAAGTTAGATAATGCAACTAGCTGTGATTTTTATTTTCTCCTTTTTTATATTTTGTAAATTTTGTTCATATTTTCTATACTATGTATATATTCCCTTCATAGTCAAACGGAATAATACACTTTTTACAATTTGTCCGATGTGAGCAAGATAGGATGGGTAAATGGTGAGATAAAGGTAAAGAATGGATAGAAAGGGAAATAATTACTGTAGAGAGTCTGTGTGCTCATAACTCTCCTTCCTTAACTCCCTAGTACCCACAGTCCAGCCAGTCTCATCTGAAATGGTCAATGACTTCAGACACTTTTTTAGAAATTAGGGTTACAGGGCCTAAATTAAAACTGAAGGTCAAATTGAGCTTTTTCCTTAAATAAGTATTGTTAGGATATCATTTAGGATTACTTATTGACTTTATTAAAAAGATGTGTCTTGCTAGATGCAGGGTGCACACTTGTAATCCCAGCAGCTTAAGAGGCTGAGGCAGGAGGATTGTGGGTTCAAAGCCAGCCTCAGAAACTTAGCAAGACCCTAAGCAACTTAGTGAGACTTTGTCTCAAAATAAAATATAAAAAGGCTGGGGATGTGTCTCAGTTGTTAAGTGCCCCTGGGTTCAACCCCTGGTGCAAGCGGGCACGTGCACACACACACACACACACACAAAGATGTGTCTTGATAGAGCCTCCATTGTGTTAATTTGAGTCAAAAGTCTAGCTCTTACAATTCACACAAAAATCCAAGAACTCTCTTTTTGATAGAAGGCTTAGCAAACCTCAGAAAAACTTAGCATGATTAAGCTTTTGAGAAAAGCACTGATCCAACTTTTGAAAGATGGGGCATGCAGGGCAACCACGTTTTAATCAAGCTCCCAGCTCTCCTTCCAGGTGGGGTGTGCTCATTTCTTGGCCCCTGTCTGATGGTGAAAGCCACTCAATGCTTCTCATTGAAAGAAAGAAATAGTCATGTACTAATAACACATGGCTCAGCCATGCATTGGCCCCAGATCTGACAGCCGTACCGTAACAGAGCTGAAAAACTTCTATCACCCAGTGGCGTTGTAGCCACTGTAAGATCACAGCACAGTGTACCCCTCATGGGTTTGTAGTGATGCTGGTGTCACCAAACCTACTGTGCTGCCAGTCAGAGGGCACACAGAATTATATACATGATACATAATATTTGAAGATGATAATAAATGATCATGTGACTGATTTAGGTATCACCACAGTATGTTTTTTAATCACTATTTTAGAGTGTACTCCTCCTTATAAAAGAAGTCGTACTGTAAACAATGTGTGTGTTGTGCAGGCAGCTGCCCCATAAACGTCGTGTTTCCCATGCTCTTCATGACATCATTCCATCTTGTGCTGTATTTACTGTTGTTGTTTTGATCATTGTTACAGGGCAGAGACCTACCATATAGCTGAGGCACCCCCTGCATCCCAATTCTTGCAATCATGCCAGAAAGATTTCAGATGTTACTCAGAGTAACAGGCAAGAGCTCATTAAAAGGGACAGGAAATGGGAAAAGACGACACTCTCCAGGGACACAATGGGTCCTTTCAGAAAGGAGAGGGTACAGGGTGTCTTCTCTCCTGCCTCTAGTTTTAGTGGGGGTCTCAGGGAAGTTTCCAGAGAGTCCCACCCAGGTTTACCTCTTAACTTTTGACCGACAGCATGATAACATCAGACTTCCAAGTTCCCACTGTGCATGACAGCTCTAGGTCACTTTGGCCCATGCTGGCCAGTTCTCATTGGAACCTGTTCTTGCGGGTTTTATGGTTAGGGGGAATTATCTTTATCTCATTGAGTTCTGGAATCTGGTCTATGTGAGGATTACAAAAGTTCCAGACCCCTACTTCAGGGTAAGTTCTATCAGCATTTGGGGCCTGCATTTCACTTTAGTTTGCAGAGGAATGTCCTATATCCTGTTGGCTTCAGCCAGGTAGGGCTGCAGGTAAATTGTTTTTTAAAAGAAGAAAGCAAGTGGGAGTCAGCCCAGTGGGCCCAGTTTATAGAATTATTATTCCCTTAACCTCATATTCCCACACCTCACATCTGTCTGATCCCTATTAATCATCATGGCCCTAGGAGCAATAGGCTGTACCATGTAAAATACATACCGCAGTGCCTAGGTGGGTAGTAAGCTGAACCCTCTATGTTTGGGTGAGTACCCTCACACAATCATGGTCCCAAGCTCTCATGATTAGGAGATTATTGTTTGGCTCATAATAGTCTCTCCAAACCATTCTTCCATACAACAGCTCACCTTCTTTCTTTTCTTTTCTCCTATTCAGGAAGTTTTGAATGACACAATTTCCTACCCTGATGGCACCTTCATGGATTGGGAGTTTAAAATCTCTGTCTTGTATGACATTGCTAAGGTAAGAGACCTAGGAAAATAAGAAACTTTTATGGAAATTAAATATAAAACAGATCTGGCTATATTCAACCTCAGCGTGCATTGATTTCTTCACTTGTAGAATGATAACGGTAGCTATATCATCTATGAAATATGAAATCATGCACATGCTTACCACAAGGCCCAGCACAAATCAATATTCCATATACATTGGTGACATTATTTTTGTTGTCGTATTTTTTTTTTTTGTATTCTGGGCATGGGGCATACATTTTCATAGATTTGTCAGAAATCAAAATCCTATTAAACTTCATGGAAGACCATTGAAGTTTTTCAACTTTCTAAGAAAAAACACGAAGTACAAGCAGCTGTCTTACATGAAGCAATAATAAATTTGGACATGACTATTTCCAGACATGACATGAAAAAGGAAGCGGACACAGTAACCGTGGCCTTATCCGAGAATGAGGAAAAGTTGCCCCAAGAGTAAACCGTTTTGTATGGTTCCAAAAAATGTCACGATGACCTTTTTGCTTGTACAATTTCACTCCTACAAAGGTTGAAAACCAGTTCTGGCTATGACACCTCTGGCCACCAGAGGGTAGTACAAGAGCTAAAATTGGACTTCCCCTTTCAAACAGAAGCAATGAAACGCTTCTGTTTCAAAACAGAATGAAACCAATTCGATTTTAAGAAATAATCCAGGCCAGCCCCTCCCTTCGAAAAACAAGGACTTATAATTCATATTTGAAAAATTGAGGTAGCCAAGAACCAGAGACATACACAGGGTCACAACCCAAATCACTGGCAAGTAAAACACTTAAATTATATATAAACACACATTTATATTTGTCTCGACCATGTGCCTCAGACAAAATTACTTAACCAGAGTTTTTACACAATGGTCTTTTACTCTGTTGTCTACTCTGTAGCCTAAATAAGACTTCAAAATGATATAGAATATGTAGGAAAATATTAAGGCTCTAATAAAATGTATAAACCAAAAGTAATGGTACTAAATTTAAAATCTGACAGTGTGGCTATCTTTTATGCTGAAATAGTGTCAAAATGTCACTTCTTCCTTTAAAATAACCAAGCAGCTGAAGTGTGTCTCATCTCTTTGTTTTCCTGTCATCCGAAAAATTGCAGGGGATGTCATATCTGCACGCCAGTAAAATAGAGGTCCATGGTCGCCTGAAATCCACCAACTGCGTAGTGGACAGTCGAATGGTGGTGAAGATCACCGATTTTGGCTGCAATTCCATTTTACATCCAAAGAAAGGTTTGTAATGAATGAAATTTTTCACTAGCTTCCCATTTGGCATTTCTTTTTCTTTCTTCTTACTTTAAAAAAATTTTTTTCTCTCAAGCCCAGATAAAGTGGTTAGAAAACAGTGATATTGATCAGAAAACAAAAACTTGGAGCGACAAGAGGCTCATTCTCCATCTGAGTTAAACAAATATTCTTTATGGACCTTATTCTCAATGCTCAGCTGAGTGTCCCCTGATATCAGTGAGAGACCATGAAGAACTTATTGATTTGTGAAACAAATAGGATGAAAAAATATAGAAGCTTAGTGCAGGCAGGAACCTTAGAAATTATCCGGTTTAATCCGCTTCTTTTAAAAAAAAATCAGAATTGAGACTCAGAGAAGTTACTAGATTTCCCTAGAAGAAAAAATATAAAGCATTTTCAAAGCTACATATCTTTCATTCTTCAATGGTAATAAAACATAAGAAAAAAAAAACTCTTCTCAATGAAATATATTCTCATCATTTTCAGAATGTGGTGGATCAAAAAAGGTAACTTGGTTTGTAGAGTGTGAAAGGTTTTTCATGTTAAATATTTATCCTTTCTTTACTGTAACTCATAGTTAAGCAGCCTTAGAAATCTAGCATTCATGTTGCCTAAAATTACTACTAAATCCAAAAATTAACTCCGTGTCTAATTCTAATTTCACAATCCTTTAGTTTTTCCTTAGTAAAAATCACAGTTCTGTCCTGACTTCCACAGTCTTGTTGAGTATAATATGATATTGGATTCAATCCAGTAAATTCTTTCGAAGCCCTACTGTGTGCCAAACATGGCTCATGATGTAATGGAGCAAATCTCCTTCATCAGATGACTGCAGTGTCAGTATTAGTAGATTACATACATACCTTTTCAACAACCTCAAACCTTTAGGATCCACTGTGAGTAAATCACAAGTCACAAATATTTATAAGACTGGAATTCAAAAAGGTGATGTAACTTTGGTTGGAGAACCAAATGAGGAAAATGTGCTTCATCATAAATACATCACTGTGCCCAGCAACATGAATCTATCTATGTATTGTTTTTATTAAAACTACTGAATATCAAAATCTCAAAGCATTTATAAGAAGTGGGGTGATTCCAAAAACTTTCCAGAGAGTGCTGAAGAAAAATGAATTAATTCTGTGCTCCTGTCATTGTTAAATCAGATACATAATGGGTGTCCAGAATACAGGTGTCTCTAGGTACTAAGACACAGGCATTTCATTCATGTGAAATGGGCTCTATGTAAATCATTACAGTGGTGTGAACATAATAAAATGTGATTAAATTACATACATCATATTTTTTAAGAATACTGTGGGAATACTAAAGAAACTGCTTCTGTGGGCATGAACTGGCTTGGAGGCCACCAGTATATTATGCTTGGAAAATATTTTTATCTTCTTTCAGTAACTACATATTTAAATATATATATATTTAATATATATATATTAAATATATATATATATATATATAGCCAGGCGCAATGGCACACGCCTGTAATCCCAGCAGCTCAGGAAGCTGAGGCAGGAGAATCGCAAGTTCAAAGCCAGCCTCAGCAACTTAGCAAGGCACTAAACAACTCAGTGAGAGCCTGCCTCAAATAAAATATTAAAAGGGCTGGGATGTGGCTCAGTGGTTAAATGCCCCTGGGTTCAATCCTCAGTACCAGAAAAATGTATGTGTGTGTGTGTGTGTGTGTGTGTGTGTGTGTATATATATATATATATATATAGAGAGAGAGAGAGAGAGAGAGAGAGAGAGAGAGAGAGAAACGAGAGAGAGAAAATAAATTCTAATAATTTAAATAATAAATATGTTTAAATATATAAATTTTTATTTATTTGTTTATAAAAGCTTTCAAAAATTCATTCCATATGTACCATAAGTTATTAAATCCCTCAGCCTCTCCTATTCTATTACAATCATTCAACATATTTATTGAGCACTTACTACACACCAGGCCCTGTTCTGGGTAGATCTCAAGGGTTTTCAGAACTATTATCCTAGCTGTTTTAGAGAACACATATGATCTCACCCAAATTCTGACTTTTTTCAAAGTCAGCTTTAAAGCTAAGTGTGTTATTCTACCTTCTATCACTGGTATGAACCTACAGTCCTTAAAAGTTTGGGACCACACCATTCCAAAACCAACCGTATTCTGGGTGGATGGCATAGAACTTAAAAAGCAAAAGCAGGTTGGAGACCTAGAGGCTGCTCCCCCCAACTTTGCACTCTCAATATCTGAATGCACAGACCTGTGGACCGCTCCAGAGCACCTCCGCCAAGCCAACATCTCTCAGAAGGGAGATGTGTACAGCTTTGGAATCATCGCCCAGGAGATCATCCTGCGGAGAGAAACCTTCTACACCTTGAGCTGCCGGGACCAGAAGGGTAAGTCTGAACCCCCTCCCCTGCCCCAGCTGGGAGCCAGCCAACCTGCATTCTGGGTTCAGTGAGGCCCTAATCTCCTTGTAACCATATTTCATCTGCAAAAGTAGTGACTGCGCATCTGCACTACACATTTTACATGGTTATTGGAAGGATTAAGAGTTAGAGTCCCCGAAAAGCACAAGATAATGTGCCCTGCCAGGCGTCATGGCTGTCAGTGTTGTGGTCAAAGAATCTTCCCTTACAATTTCCGCCTTTCCTTCTGATTCTGAAAGAGCTGATCACTCTAGCAAGACGACACAAATATTCCAGTTTTTACTATGAGAAAAGCTACAGTTTTTTTGTCATATCCTCTCAGAGGAAAATATTTCATTCCATTCTCCAAATTTTTTTTTTACATACACAAATTATTTTTAATCAAAAGGTGAAGCACTGTCACCGTAGTGAGTCCAATTCCATGAGTCAGAATAGCATGCGATTTTTTTATTTTTCTAAACATCCATTCAGACTTTACTGGGTATTTATTATGTGCCGACTCTGAACTATCTTGGGAAGTAAGATGACTAAGGGATTTAGGGAGGGTGGGGCCCGAGTATTGGACACAAGAAGCCTTCTGAAGGTGATGATGCTGTATTCTTCCTTCTAACTTGACTATTCTCACCAATCAGAGAAGATTTTCAGAGTGGAAAATTCCAATGGCATGAAACCCTTCCGCCCAGATCTCTTCCTGGAAACAGCAGACGAAAAAGAGCTGGAGGTGAGTACATCTTCCCCTGTATTCATTTCTTTGGCCGGCTCTAAAAATTCACCACAAATGTGGTGGTGAAAACCACAAAGACTTATTCAGTTACAGTTCTAAAATCAAGTTGTTGACAAGGCTGCACTCCTTCCACAAGCTCTAAGGGGATGATTCATTCCTTGCCTTTTCCGGAAGCTTCTGATAGCTGTTGACATTCCTTGGCTTGTGGGCCCACATTCCAAGCTCTGTCTCTTGGTCACATTCTCTCCTCCTTTTCTGTCTGTTTTCCCTCAATCTTCTTCCTATTAGGATACATGTCGCTGCATTTGGACCCACCCAATTCCAGCATAATTGCCCCACCTCAAGATTTTTAACTTAACTACAGCTGCAAAGACTCTTTCTCCAAATATAATGGTTCCCTTATCTGCAGTTTTGCTTTTTGTGGTTTCAGTTATCCATGGTCAATTGTAGTCTGAAACTACTATATTTATTATTCCATAAATAAACAATTCATAAGGTATAAATTGCATATTGTTCTGAGTAGTGTGACACATTGAGTTCGGGTGGTGTTGTGTATCAGAGACGATGTGACATCCTGACAGTGTGTATCCTAAGTGGTGTGACAAGATCTTACTCTGTCCCACTTGAGATATCAATCGTTCCTTTGCTCACATATCCATGTTGTATATACTACCCTCCCATTGTTCATTCAGTAGCCATCTAGGTTATCAGATTGACTGTTGAGGGATAAAAGTGCTTTTATTTAAGTAATTCTTATTTTGTTTAATAATGGCCCCCAAATGCAATGGTAATGAAGCTGGAAATTTTATTCCAGTATATTATTGTGTTTTATCATAGTTATTGTTGTTATTCTCTTACTGTGCCTAATTTATAAATTAAACTTTATCGTGGGTATGTACAGGGTTCAGTGCTCCCCACAGTTATTCACTGGGAGTCTTAAAATTATCCCCTGCAGATAAAGGTGGACTACAGAAAGGTAATACACATTCTAGGGATGAGATATTCCACATGCCCTCCTCTGCTGCCAAATCAGAAAACAGCTGGCTCCTAAAACACACATCACATTCTCAGTTTTTATCAACTGAAAGAACAAGATGTCAATGTGATATCCTTGTTAGTCTTGTAAAAATATATACTCAACAGAGTATTATCTAATGATTTAAAAAGAAATATTCCAATATCTAGAAAAACTTAAGTGTACTTTTACTCTTCCCCAGGAAGAAATGGAGTTTTTCTCTCCATATTTGCTTATTTATTTTTCTAACAATCCTTCAGAAAAAGCTTTACTGCTGGGGATAAAAAATTCTACTTTTTTTTTTTTTTTTTTTTTTTTTTTTTAGAATTTTACCTGAACCTTAATACAAGAGATAGTCAAGTATTTTAAAAATCTTTCTGGTGCTTTACACACACATATACCTTTTGTTCCTTGTGGGATAAAAGCAGAAATGTTGTCCTTCTGTTTATAAGTCCATGCCAGAATCCACCCAGGAAAAATAGGCCACTCTTCCCTCTCCTCTTGGTCTGCTCCTTTTCAATAGCACAGGCACGTTGTAGCCCAGGGTTCTGAGATACAATTGCTCCTATTCCTGCCTTCTCCTTGTTCCTTCTTTTCATCTGCTTCTCTATACCTCCCCACATATCATCCATCCATTCTCAGACTCTCTAACCTGAGCATAGTTGTCCTCAGGATCTGTAGGAAATTGGTTCCTTGTCTGCTCAATAAAATGGCATAGCATTTGCATATAGTCTATACCCATCTTCCCATGTATTTTAAGTCATTCTCCAGGTTATTTATGATATCTAAATATAGTGTAAATGCTATGTAAATACTTCTTCTACTGTATTGCTTAGGGAATATAGATGAGGAAAAAAATCTATATGTGTTCAGTACAGACCTGATTTTTTCTTTGTTTTAAACCTGTTATTGATTGAATCCATGGATGCAGAAGCAGAACCCACCGATAGGGATACAGAGGGCCAAGAGTATATTCAGATTAAAACCTTTTTCACCAAAGCATTTTCATCCTCAATTCATTTGTGCATAGTTGGATGGTTCTGGAATTGAAAATAAGGAATGAGATTTCATATCTAGTAGCTGGTTCCAATGGAATACAGGTCTGATCACTGAGCGATGCCAAAAGCTACTCAGGATTTTCCTTTGTGGTGCTGTTCCAGAACATTTCTAGTGGTTTCTATCCAATCTCCTATAAGGTAGTCAGCAGGCCATTTATCAAGCAAGGACATCACCTCATGGTGAGTTACAGACAGCCAGAGGCTACACCAGGGCTCCAGTCCCTTCCCAAGCAAAGTACAAGAACAGGGATTTAATATTGCCTGTTTTTAGAGTGAAAAACCAATTTTTTTTAAAAAAAAAGTTTTTCACCTCTCTTTTTCATAAAATAAAGATTCCATGGGCTCCTTCTGCCTCCCTCTTCCTCCTCACCTCTCCTTTCTCTATGTTGCTGTTCTAGTGCAACTGTGTATTAGGATTACATGGGGAACTTTTAAAAAAAATATAAAACTGTCCTTTCCTCATGCAAAATTGGGGACACACTTATTCTAGTGAATTAGTCATTGCTTATCTTACAGTTACACCCAAAGCTCTTGAGGTGGGGCCTGGCTATAAGAAATACACATGCTCCCCAGGCAATTCTTTTCGCTGCAATGGAAAACCACTGACTGCCGTCCAGCTCTTATTCTCACTTAGAGCCACTTACTCATCAAGCCCCATTAATTTTTGCCCTCCCCAGCACAAACACTGCAAACTACTGTAAAGCATTTAGTCTCTCGCATCAACCCGGTCTCATCCAAACTGGTATCACGTTTTTCATTAATTTCACCCACAGGAACTACTGGGTAAGGTAGTGTAGGTGGTAATACCCGAGATGGAAAATGCAGAGCTAGCTTTATCCTCAATGTCAGAGGTGAGGTTTGGCTTTCGGGGGGACGGTGAGGGAGAAATATGTCTTCTTAATTACTCCCATCAAAGAAGAGAAGAGGAGGCGACCTTGTCCGAATTTACCATCCTCTGAACTAATTCACCCCACTTCCTTCTTCCAGGTGTATTTACTTGTAAAAAGCTGCTGGGAGGAAGATCCAGAAAAGAGACCAGATTTCAAGAAAATCGAAAACACACTGGCCAAGATATTTGGGTACTGATGAAATGTTTACTTTTCACAAATTTTGGGTTTTTCAGTGACAGCTGACATTCAGTGGTATCCAAGAATGAGTCTGCCTATTCCAGTGAAAGATCCCAGACTGCAAGCACCTGTCTCATAAAAATTAAAATGATATGAAGACTAACAGGCCATTTTCTCAGGGACACACTCGCTTGAAAATTTTAAAATGTCAGACAAATTGTCTGGTTGAAAACAAGTTCTAACTGATCATAGCATTTCTGTTAAAAATATAGTACCAGATCCTTGTGCAGGTAATTAAGATATAGGTCTTGAGAATCTGTAAAGCCTCTTGATAATTCTTAAGATCAGCAAGTTTTTTTTAAATGTTAAAATCACCAGTTCTGGCCCTAGGTACTTAAGATCTGTCTTATGAATCAGGTTCAATTGAGCATCAAAGAAAAAACAGCAGTACACAATTATCCAGTGAGGTTGAATTCTGGAGGTCTCATGTTTTCAGCTAATCCATTGCAGATGAGAAAAAAAAAATTGAATAGTTAGGAGATCCAGTTTCCATGCTAGGATCTGATAGTACTTGCTATGGGATGTAGGGCAAAATTCTCATCCTCACAGGGTGTCCGTTGTCTTGTTAGTAAAATTGGATTGGACAAGATAATTTCTTCAATTCCTCCCAGCTCTGCAGTTCTCATTAGGTCAAAAGATTCAGATAATTAAGGAGACTAAAAGCCCAGGGCTGGAGATGAGGTGCAGTGAAGTTAATGAGTGTGTGGTCCTTGATTGGTAGAACTAAGCTGTCAGCAGTTGGAATGGAGCTGAAAGTAATAAGGGATTTAATTCTTGCCACCTTTTCACTCTTTCATAGGCCTGTTACTGAGAGCAATTGAGATTGTACCATGACAGATGACATGTAGACTTGTGAAGGTTGTAGCCTTCAGTGGTGGTTCTCCAAGTTGGCTGCACATTGGAGTCACCTGAGCAACTTTCAGAACTGCTGATGCCTTGGGTCCTGCCCCAGAGAGTCTAACGTAATTGTTCTCGGGTGCGGGCTGGCATCAGAAGCGTTAATAGCTCCCCAGGTGATTAAGATATGCAGTCAAGGCTGGGAAAACTATTTTAATTGAATTAATTAATGGTGGAGTAAAACAATCCATCTTGGTCCCTTACACCTGCTCCCTCACCCATTCTACCCAGCTAGTCTCTAAGTGGGGCAAGTAAGAGTCCCTTGAGAGCTTGTTAAAAAAAAAAAAAAAATTCTGCTGTAAGCCTAGCAGTTTTACTTACAGAGGTCTGGGGTAGGACTCAGAAATATATTGACTTTTTAATAAACATCCCTCCTCACCCCAGGGGATCATGATGTAGGCCATCTCCTCCTGAGAGCAGAAGTGGTGGCCTGTGCTTGTCATAGTTGTAGTGACCAAGTGGCCGTGATTCATGCAGCACCATCCACGGTGCTTTCCTGTGTTAGGAGTGTGATCTCTGATATATGACACCACAAGAACTCAGTGTGTCTCTTCCCTGAGTTCTGCACCGGGTATCATGTGTCCCAATGTCACAGAAAGCTGGCCTCTCATCTTGTGCCTTCTGGGTCTAACAACATAATCCAGAATTAGAATATTATCCTGAAGAGATGCTCTGTGGCTTGGTGTGGACTTTCTTGGTCTTTCTCTTATGCTTCCATTGATCACTTCTAGGCCATTTTTAAAATGATTCTCCTTTATTATAAATCGTGTATTATTAAAATTTTAGGAAAGAGGAATAAGTCAGCAAGAAAGTAAAAGCACCCGTTTTCCAGTAAAATTGAGATTGTAGTGTTTACTATTTTATAAACTGACTTTTTCCACATAGTGATAAAGGGTGCTTCTTTATGTTGTCTTTAATTATTCTCATTTCTACTTTATGGTACATTAATATTCCATTACACATGATATTTAGACTATGTTTTTGGTATATATTTAGATTATTTTCCAGTTTTTGCTATTATAAATAATTCTGTGGCTTTCTTTGTAGATAATTTTAAACATTCATGATCTCATTTTTCCTTTCTTTGGTTTCTCTTCAGGTTCAATTTTGTTGTTGTTGTTGTTGGCCCTTTTTATTTTTCTTTAATTTCCTATTCCATGTGGTTTTCTATTGTTTTACTGCGTGTTTTCTTAATTAAGAAGATCTCTTTATCTACTACTACCTACAGCCTTTTTCATGATCAGAAAAATGAGACTTATATGGACACCTTGATTCGACGCCTGCAGCTCTATTCTCGGAACTTGGAACATCTGGTAGAGGAAAGGACGCAGCTGTACAAGGCAGAGAGGGACAGGGCGGACAGACTGAACTTCATGCTGCTGCCCAGGTGAGGCAGCCCTCCTGCTGACAGAGTTCCCTGGTGCCACAGCCAGGCTTCCCGGCCTGTGGCTGAAACCTTTGGCAGATCTGACTAGCATTGCTGTTGCTTTGCTTTTGTTTTCCCAGATCTATACGGGATTGTTTCCTTTTGCATATTCTTCAACAGATTATAGGGCTTAAAAATGCATGTACCATGCATTCTCTAAATACCTAAAAAAGAGAGATTACTTTCCAACATATGCATGGTGACACAGGAGTAGCACACACTGTGCAGACACCTGGGTGTCAGCACCTCTTTGCCACTTTTTATTAAGTCTACCACTTAAGACAAATTGCCTAATCTCTCAATTGCAAAATGGAAATTAAAATTTGCCTGCAGAATATAGAAACTATAGGGTGCTTCCAGGCACTCTTAGTTTTTTCTTTGATTTCTTCTGACTGCAAGTAGAATCCAACTTACAAGAACTAGGAGCCATCCCCGTAGAGAGGGCAGGGGAAATGCATTGGGTGTGTCAGAGGCATGTAGAGGCTGACCTCTGTCTTGTGAAGCAACATGACAGCCATGACAGAAGAATGAAATTCCCAAACACCTGAAAGTTTCCTAAGTGTTGACAGTTAAGCAGGGAATGGAAATGTGGAGTGAGGAAATAGGTTTGGCCCACCACTGTGCTTCAGTGAGTCGCAGCATTCTTCAGGTGTAACCAACTGTTCCATCAGGTGAAGGATGAATGAGCCAGTCCCGTTTTAGGTAAAATCATGGAATCTGAGGTCAGCTGGGCCTGATTTCAACACATGGTTCCATCAACCACTGCTGATGAGCAATCTTGGGCAGGTGTTCAAATGCTTCAAGCCCCAGTCTCCCATCCACATTCCAGGGTGGCTCTGAGTTCCTTGAGATCATGCGCAGGATAGAAATAATTAGCATAATGCCTGGAACAGCCATGATGATTATTATCCTATGGCAACTATGACTTTTTCTATATTACTCATATTATTTAATTTGAACACTTGCTTCTTTTAGAATATCAGTTCTGCAAAGGCAAGATTTCAAGATCAAATTAGCTGTTTTTTCAATTAAAAAATAGCATCTCTTCTACAAGCCTGAGTGCTATGAGAAGAGGTAGGGGTCGCACGCATGCTCTGTCTGGTCTCTAGGCCTGAAGAGAGTTTAATACAGAACCTACCCACCCTCAGAGCACGTAGGAGAAGGCTAGGAATAGTACCCTCCACGCTTGTCTCAGGGATGGCGGTTTCTGTGGGAGTTCTATAAAATTTAATTATATAATGCATAGTTCCTTGCCTGGCCTTTAATGCCTAGTTGACAAAACAATATCCTGATTATATGGCTACCTTTTTAGGTTTTATTATTGGTGATTTTAACCAATAATGTCCACCAAATGGTTTGGAACAGCTGGCTGACCACCTCAGCCTTTTTCCTAGCCCTGGCTCAGTATGCTACTTTGACCACTAGGTGGTAGATGTTTTCATCAGATTGCCAAAGTCATGAAACACATCTGTTCGGATATGTTGAAGCTACAGTACACCATGACTGCAGCAAAAAATTCTTCATATTTGAAAAGTAAAAGTAAAATTAAATCATGCATGAATGATTGCTAGAAGAATTAAGAAGAAATATTTATATAAAAAGGGTAAATACATTTAAGACTGTATGTAGGAACCAAATATTATTTAAACACTTCTTTGAATATTACCCCTTGGGGTTTTGAAACAGAATAGATGTTTTTTCTTCTTGCAGGAAGCCTTTCTAAGACATCTAGTCTGCATACTAATTGCATCAATAACACCCTGTTATCAAAGTTAAGTTACATTCCTTCCTTTATTTTTCTACCAACAGAGTAGTTTCTTTTTCTGGATAACACACTGTTTTCCAAGCTCAAATGACTTTTTATAAGCAGTAGAAAGAAGGGCAACAATGGCAGAAATTTTTATGTCATCATTATATCTATGTAACCTCCAAAATGCTCTGCCCTTTATATCTGGCATGCCCAGAGTAACCAGCCCAGGAGTACCTCTGAGAGCCTGCCCAGCCACACCATGGGGTGTTTTTCAAAGGTCCCAAGTTGTGTCACTGCACCAGTTAAAAAGACTTCCCTCAGTGCACTGAATTTTCTCCAAATGAGTACTGCAAATGTTTATGGTTGATTTGTTTTCTGGGAGAGACATGGGTATCCTTTCTTTGCTACATAATCAGCACACCTCCCAATCTTCCCCATCTCCCCAAATATCCAAGGACTGAATGGTGGAAGAATCATGGCACATTAATAAGACTGAAAGACAAAATGTTGCCAAGTCCTCATACCAGCTCTGTCCTTAGTGGACTCTGGGATTGTAGGAAATTCATACTTCCTTTTCAGGTCTTCACTTTCTCATCTATAATCATAAGGGGTTTATTTTCCATGGCTTCTGTGGTACCTCCCAGCTTCCAGATTCTAATTCTGGTAGTTCTATACTTGGATCCACTCCACAGTGATCCCAAGGTCAGACAGAGAGCATTTATCATGTCAGCCCCCATCCCTTCTTTTCAGTGGAAAGCCATTGGGTACATGAAGAAAATAGGGAGTCCATTCTTGTACTTCTTCTCTTTCAATTCTTGGTCTGAAATGCAGCTGGTTATGTTTCTTCAAAGCTATTCTATGTTGTTTCTTTTTGACTTCTGCTAATCTACCATAGTTTTAACTTGTTTACATGGTGATTGACTCAAATACAGTTCAAACTATATCAAATGAACTCTGGTTTAGAATATATCAAAATTAATGTTAAATGCATTATTCCTTCATAATGATATTAAACAACATCATGTTAAATATGGCAGGGAAAATAAAACAACTTTGATGAGAGAGTCAGATGATAACTATGGTGAGTCAAGCTCTTAGATCTATAACATTTGCCATCTCTGCTTCTGGATAAAGAACTAGGTCTGTAAGAAATTGATTATCAGTACAGAAGTAAAAAGTGGGCAAGGACTTATATGCCTTAAGGTTAAATAGCTATTAAGGTTATGTATGTATGTGTTTTAGGGTTAATAATCAAATACTAAGTTGCCACAGTCTGGCTGCAGCAAACTAACTGGGGGGTGACAGGAACTTGTGAAGATTGATGTAGTGGGAGCCGTTTATTGTAGGACAGTCGGGGTATATATACATAACTGAATACACAGCTTAACTTAATTAACATAAACTAGGTACAGCAGTCAAACAATAAGGAATCATCATCTTAATGATTACACACAGCTTAATTAATTGACATAATCTAGACACAGCAGTCAGTCATTAAGGAATCTCCACACTTAATGGCTCGCTGGCATTACTTCTCAAACCACTCCCTCTGGCAAAATGCCAGGCGCCATCTTGACTTGTTTATGGACCCTAACACTAAGTGAATGTTTAACCTGCATAGATTCATCTGGGTTCTAATACACACATTATGTGTATGTGTGTGTGTGTTTGTGATGTATTTATATATACAATGGATACAACCTAACTTTGCTTCCTAGATAATCATTCACCAGAAATCTAGAATTCTTAAGTTATTGGTAAACAATTACTACTATCTTAAATGTTTATGTTAGACAAGAAAAATTTACTGAAGTTGAAGGCATTATTTTCCCTTCATCATCTAGGCTAGTGGTAAAGTCTCTGAAGGAGAAAGGCATTGTGGAGCCAGAACTATTTGAGGAAGTTACAATCTACTTCAGCGACATTGTAGGTTTCACTACTATCTGCAAATACAGCACCCCCATGGAAGTGGTGGACATGCTTAATGACATCTATAAGAGTTTTGACCAAATCGTGGATCACCATGATGTCTACAAGGTAACTGCTTCCCTCATGGTTGAACAGACCAAAGGCATCAAAGCCTGACATGGCTCTTCCCATTATTTCTCTTGTCCTCTGTAATTTAACCTTTAATGAATTGATGGTTGAAACTGCGCTAAAAGGGAAGAGAAGTGGAAGAACTGGAAGGGTGACATGCCAAAATTACCATTTAACTTTTAAGAAATAGCACAAAAGAAGAAAATTTCCACAGGAATGAATTTTGGAAACTAAATTTAGAGAAAATGTCATCCCTCTCAAATTACCTTCAAAAAATGGATGATATTTAGATTGAGTGCAAATGAAGCAGAGAATACACTAGAGTTTAAATAAATAGAATCTGTCTTATAACTTAGAGGAAACTACAATTATTTTTGCTCAAATTGCATGTAGAAAATGACAAAGACAACTATAGATTACTTTTCTGGAAATTAAGAGTATTCCTAAAATGACTTAAACCCAATCAGATTATTTAAACATTTTAAGGATTGTCACCACATCTGTACAATTTATGTAATCATGAAACACTTTTAGATAAAACACTTTGTTTTATCATTCATTTAACTAGACTATAAAAACTCTGAAGAAGCTGGGTGCCGTGGTGCTCACCTGTAATCCCAGTGGCTGGGGAGGCTGAGGCAGGAGAATCACGAGTTTAAAGCCACCTCAGCAATGGCAAGGTGCTAAGCAACTCCGTGAAATCCTGTCTCTAAATAAAATACAAAATAGGACTGGGGATGTGGTTCAGTGGTTGAGTACCCCTGAGTTCAATCCCTAGTACCAAAAAAAAAAAAAAAAAATTACTCTGAAGAAATTAGCATAAAACTGGTGTTGAACTGGCCCAGAAAAAGTGTATTAGGACTGTGCCTCTGAGTTCCCAAAAAACCTTTTGTGTTTGTTTTGTGATTAACTGCTTCTGTTTAAAATCTGTGCCTTTTGAAGGAGCAGAGCCACTGATGAGAAAGTATTTCCACAGGTAGAAACCATTGGTGATGCCTACGTGGTGGCTAGTGGTTTGCCTAAGAGAAATGGCAATCGGCATGCAGTAGATATTTCCAAGATGGCCTTAGATATCCTCAGCTTCATAGGGACCTTTGAACTGGAGCATCTTCCCGGCCTCCCAGTATGGATTCGCATTGGAGTTCACTCTGGTATGGAGATAAGCTTCTTAAGACCATTTGTACATCTGTTAACCAACTATATCAGAAAAAATAGAGGGACCTGAAACATGATTGATTTTCACAAGAGATTTACTGTTGAATTCTGTGGATCAAATAGACCATTACACATCCTGACATTTTAGACCCAGTCTATAGAGAGTGATTGGAACAACACATTTGACAGCAGTTTTCACTCTTGGATGGATAACACTAACCACATATGAAAACAAGAAGGACTTCCCATTTAAGTCACTGAATCTACTATTGCACTTATCTCCTCCTCATCCCTTCCTTCTTCTCAATCTCAACTTCTGTACATTTCCCCATTAAAATATAATAGTACCTAAGTGGATTTGATTATCTACAGGGGAAAAAAATAACTGGTAAAATTCCTGTAACAGATATACCCCACTCCCCTGCAGTCGTACAGAAATTACATAGGTCACTTAAAAGACCATGAAAAACTTCATAGCTTTGTTGAAAAGAAACACTTCAGGCAAATTCAACAGAACTTAATTGAGAAAGAACAATTGACAAACCGTGACCATCAGAACCAGTGGGTAATACGGGCTGGCAGTCTATACAGACAGAAAATAGAAGTAAGGTACAGAAACCACTTGGTTTTACAGCTCCATGTTTGCCATTTATAGGCCTGATATGATCAGTTAGCAGCCTGTGATTGGCTGGCTCTCAGCTGCTGTGATTACCTGAGATTTAGCCATTTATTCCAAAAGTATCTTTCTAAATTAGGCTTTCAATTTGTAAGGAGGTTGTGCTTGTTCCATAGGCATGCCAGGTAGGAGGCAGCCTCAGGCTAAATTTAGTTTTATTTAACAGTCTTGAACATAATGATTTGAGAAGATGAGTTATGGATACAGAAAAACATAGTTGGAAAGGAACTCAAAAGTCATCTGGATTAATCCTTTGCAAGGTACCATTGTCTTTATAGGTCCCAAGATAAATAATAGTATGGCACATTTAGAATAACCCCAAGACTCCTTGAAAACTCATAGTTTTCCAACTCAGGCCACTATTGAAACGGTTAATTATTAAGACAGTTTTTCCTCATGTTAAATCACATCTCTATAAATTTCCTGGCATTGCTCCTAGTCCAAGGCTTACAGGAGACCCAGAGTACAGAAAACTTAAAAGATAGCCCCTAGGCTTTGTGGCAAGGACCAAACAACTGCATTTCCTGAAGTCCTCTTATATCTACAGAGCCTGACAGTAAATATTTGTTGATATGAATGAATGATTTTCTCAAAGTGACAGTAAATAGAACTTAAAAACTGCTGCCAAATCTTTGACAGCCAGGAATATAGTTGTGGTTTCCCCAATCATGTCCAGAGCCAAATGTCATGTTTCCATATTTATATGAGGGAACTCCTGGCATCTGCCAGACCACCCAGGCAGTGAGTGAACTATCTCCTTTCTGTCCCATCACAAATCGTCAAACCTGGAGGAGGGGTTAGCAGCAGGCTTGATTTATTGACATCAAGGAGGGTGGAGGCCTTACCTGTGACCTGCTCAATGTCTGAGCTAACCACGAGGGTACTGCCATACTGGGCTGGCATGAGAGCAGCTATTAGGCACATATGCCTGGAAGGGTTTAGGCTCAGGAAATTGAACAGTTGCAAAGTTAAGTATTAATAACTGAGAACAAGAAACAGTATCAGCAGGAATTTTGCTATTTTAGGCCTTCCACGGCCTTATCAGTCTGTTGTTGAAGTAAGAAGTCACTTGCAAACAGACCTACCAGTCCTAGTGCACAGCCTGGTACAGCTGGGGAACTCAGAGATCTGATCAAAAACTGCTTCTGCTAAACCTTTCTTGTCACACATTTTTCGTTATTTTTTTTTTAATCGGTTTTTCTTTTGTTTTACATCAAACCTGACAGTGAAAGGCTAAGGATCCTGGGGAAGATCTGGTATTTTGAGAATTTTTCTTTCTTTCTTTCTTTCTTTCTTTTTCTTTCTTTCTTTCTTTCTTTCTTTCTTTCTTTCTTTCTTTCTTTCTTTCTTTCTTTCTTTCTTTCTTTCTTTCTTTCTATGTGTGTTCATAAACACAGGGGTAAAATAAATCTATCAGGAAACTCAAATAGATCAAAAACTACTGTCAACTAGAAAATTAATGATTACCTCTACCAAAAACCCAGCTTTGCAGTTTTCAAGTTAATCTTTAGCTTCTAAAATCTTTAACTCCTTGCTTTCAGGCAGCCCACACAAATACATGATTAATATGCCTCAATGCTGTCTTGCCTTGGCTTTTGTTCTGCTTGTTAGTGTCCTTCTGCCACAGCCTTCCCCTATCCAGTGGTATTCAGGAATATAGCTGTGGTTTCCCCATCATGACCAGAGCCAAATATCATGTTTCCATATTTATATGAGGGAACTCCTGGGCCTCGGCCAGATCACAAATCTTTCCTGCTGTACATTTTCCGTTATTGTTTTGTTTTTTTAAATCAGTTTTTGTTTTGTTTTGCATCAAACCTGAATTGCTTAGGGAAAATTATTCCCAATTCCTGTCTTCTGGTCTTCCATCACTATACCTCCAATCCCAGAAATACCACCCCCTAAAATAAAAATAAAACTAACTTGGGCCATTGAACCACCAGTGCCCTCCAGCAGTCCAGGGTGCAGGATTGAGTGGTTTGGCACAGTCAGCAAGCCATGGGATCACCTTCACCCTTCTATTTAAAATATTAAGAAAGACTTGCCGCTTTTGTGACCTGGATCTCTGGGTGCCTTCTTGTTCTGAGTCAATGCAACAGTTCTTCACACAGCAAAATATTTTTTGAAAGCATATCCTTCCTGGGTGTATTCATTTAAAGCAAAAATCACCAAGCACATCACACGCTCTGCCATTTCCCCATGACATGATGTGTTTGACATTGTGACCCTGAGAAGAGGCTCCTTCATCTCCACTCTGCACTTTCCATTGCCTCCACCTCTAGCTTCTTGTTCTTCCTTTCAGGTCCTTGTGCTGCTGGAGTTGTGGGAATCAAGATGCCTCGTTATTGCCTGTTTGGGGACACCGTCAACACAGCCTCTAGGATGGAATCCACTGGCCTTCGTAAGAATGGAGATTGGTTTTTTTTAGAGGACAAAGATGCTTTCTTGCAGAGGAAGGCAATTGTGGGATTACATGCACAATAAGCAGACACAAAGTACTGGGGAAATGCAGGATGATCCTGCACAGCAGCAGCATGTGAGCCTGTGTCAATCTGGTCCTTGCTGTATTTGCTTTTGTTGTGATCATTTACTGATAATTATCTTATTCTTCTATTACTGCTCAGTTTTTAATTTTCTATATTTTTTATCCACCTTCAATTAATTCAACCATGTTCTACCTGGAATAGTCATGAAATTTAGCATAGATCTATGGAAGTTAAAAAAAAAAAAAACTCCTATGGGCTATATATGGACTATACACACTGCTTCAAATTCCCATTTCTCTTTTATCTGGTTTTTCTAGGAATTCATTTTAGTAAAGGAAAGAGTCTTGGTGTTTGTTATATGCAAAGATATATATTATATTTGCCCTGCCAAAATAAAGGCACAGGGTGCTGCATGCAGTAGTTGCTCAATAATATTGGAGATAATGATAATAATGGAAATATATAGTAGAAGAAAAAAGCACTGGTAGATAAGAGCTGACAAAAACACAGGAGGCAAGATAGTAGTTTGGTGCTCTACCAACAACCTGATACTAGTATATGCTGGAAAAATCAAGAGTATAAAGAAAAGAAGAGTCATACAGACTTGGGTTAAAATCATAACTATGCTAATTACTATCAGAGTAAGTTGGAGGGAAATGTACCTGATCTTTCTAGGACTCTGAAAGATGAAGATGTCAACTGAGGACCATACCCTAACCTTGCTGGGAGAACTCGGAATGAAATATATCAAGCATTTAGCAATGCTCTGGCCCAGGGATGAAGACTCCTATTCTATATGCCTCACAGCTGGGCTTTCCATCATTCTTCCTCCTGATGCTGCTTGTGGGGAGGCTGTTAGGCACCATAGTGAGAAAGATGGTAGACAGCAATGGAGCAGGGAGTGCCTCACTGCTTGTTTTTCAGAGGATCACTATTGTCCAGAAGAAGAACATTTGAGAAAACCAAGACCCTGGATTTTCATCTTGCCACCAGCACTTTAGCTGTGCACTAGAATTTTTTCACAGGAACCCAAAGCAAATTCTAACTCCTAAGCTTGGCACTGAAAGTCTGATCCAAAACCTGCTCCTAGAGGCTACCACCCTGAGCCAGAGTGAGAATCAGAGGACAAAACCCAACGAGTGCCATCACTCAGGATCCTGGAAACCAGTACCCTTTTTCCTTATCATGTGTGATAATATTTCTTATCTCACTGATGTCATTTATTTATTTATTGGTACCAGGGATGGAACCCAGGGTGCTTAAGCCACACCCCGGATCCCTTTTTACATTTTATTTTGAGACAGTGTCTTGCTGGTTGCCTTAGGGCCTCACTAAATTGCTAACCTGGCTTGAACATGTGAACCTCCTGAGCTCATGCTCCTGAGCTGCTGGGATTATAGGTGTCTAGCTCACTGGCGTTATTTTTAAGGGTGCTTTCATTTAAAAAGCTGTATTTGTTTCTCTTCAATCTAGGATATTGGCTTCAGGTGTTTGTGATAGCATAAATCAAGGGGAAACAAAGGTGGCATATCATAGCTGTCAAAACCGATGAGCTTTCATTTGTCTCTTTTGCATTTCCAGCCTATAGGATTCACATGAGTAGCTCCACTATAGCCACCTTGAAGAGAACCGATTGTCAGTTCCTGTATGAAGTAAGAGGAGAGACCTACTTAAAGGTAAGGAATCCACAGAGACAATTTGTCGCACACATCTGGACCATCTCCTGCGAGACTTGGCCAAGAAGGTCAAGAAGCACAGGGATGAAGACTCCTTTTTCTATATGCCTCACAAAGATCTGCCACCATCCCTGTAGGAGGAACCTACATGTGAGCATCAGAACTTTCCTTTGTTCAGAAAGGCCCTAGGTCTATGACCAATATGTTGTACAACACTGCTATTTCCTCTACATATGTACAAGGTTTGTCCTCAGTTATTCCTCCAAACCCAAGAGCTTCTTCTGTTCAGGACTTGTTTAAGTCAAAAGCCCCAATTTCCTACTCTAATGGCAAGATGCTATGTCTCAGGTCACCTCTCTTGTCAGTTGCTTTTATTATTCTGAAACTCTGGATCAATAGATTGCAAAGTATGGCCCATTACTCCTGACTTGTACACCCACCAGGCCTACTGAGACTCCACGGTATAGATCAGAAATCTTACTAACAAGTATTGCAAATGTTTGTGATCACATTGAAGTTTGACAATTAGAGCTTTAAATTCCCCATGCTGTTCCTCACATCAAAAACAGCTACCCTTGCCAGGGCGGTGGTGCACCCCAGTAATCCCAGAGGCTGGGGAGCGGGGAGGGGATGAGGATGGAGGATCCCAAGTTCAAAGCCAGCCTCAGCAAAAGCCAGGCGCTAAGCAACTCAGTGAGACCCTGTCTCTAAATAAAATACAAAATAGGACTAGAGATGTAGCTCTGCAGCGGAGTGCCCCTGAGTTCAATCCTTGCTACCAAAAACAAAACAAAAAACAAACAAACAAAATGCTGCCCTCCAAAGCCACCAACTGTCTCCAACTGGCTCTCAGTCTGCTCTTTGAAAATTACAATCTTTTCACAATTGGTCTAAAGCCAGCTATCAACAGTTTTCTGTCTCCAGTAGCCATAATGCCCTGATCTCCAGGCTTGACTTAGAAAAGCCTCCTTGTATGTAAAGGTGTCCTAACATCACACTCAGTTTTTGAGTCCTCCATAAACGCATTTTACAGGGTTTTTTTTTCTTTTTTCTTTTTTTTTTTTTTTTTTTGGTGTGGAGAATTGAACCCATGGCCTTGCAAATGCTTGGCATTTGCTACTTGGCTACATTTTCAGCCCATAAATGGACAATATATTTTCTCCATAAGAGCATTCCTCTGAAAATAGAAGTGACTTATAGATTATAGATTACTGCAGTCTAAACACAGTCAACCAGCCACTATTTTTAAAAGTGAACACACACACACACACACACACACACACACACACATCTAATCTCCTTTTTGAGTATAAGCTTTAGCAAAAACAGTTTCTGATAAGGTTATTTTTATTTCATAGTCCCCAGATGAGCCAAACAAATGTCACTCAAGGAGTGCTTATTATGGTGAATATGTGTTTATAATTTACACATTTAATGTAGGTAAAGTAACAAAAGTCTTGTGACAAAACTTTGTTGCAAAAGGTGCTAAAATAAAAATGTAGACAGCTGGGCATGGTAGCATATGTTTGTAATCCCAGCTACTTGGGAGGCTCAGGCATGAGATTTTAAGTTTGAGGCTAGCCTCAGTAACTTAGTGAGACCCTATCTCAAAATAAAAAGGGCTGAAACTCAGAGGTAGAACACCACTGGGTTCAACCTCCAGCACGCTCCCCCCCCCCAAAAAAAAAAAAGGAAAAGAAAGAAAATGTAGGCAATGAAAACTGGTTGGGTTTGTTGGTGCAGCAGAATTACAGATGAATTTTTTTTTAAAATTAGAGTTATTAAAATGTAGCTATAGTGACATTTTCAAATATCTTATGGGAAAAAAACCTATTTAGTCAGAGATTTATTTTTTAAAGGAATTTGGAAATAAAAATTTATCTAGAGATAACACAAATCATAAAGGCATGTGCTATGCACTTAAATATAGGCATCGATGAGAAATGTGGACGTAAGATGCCTCTTGGAAACAGATCCCTGTAGAACAGTGGGCTAGAGCGGAACTGTCTCATTGGCATCCATTGGACTCACCTCTTCTGTCTCCCTAGGGAAAAGGAACAGAGATCACCTACTGGCTGACTGGGATGAAGGACCATAAATACAACCTGCCAACCCCACCAACTGTGTAAGTTTCTGGGTGTGACCTGGAGGGATAGGGGAGTTGGAGGTTTTGGCCTTATAAGCTGTGCTCCTTACAGCCATTCAAGTCAGTTGGGGCAAGTGCCTTGCAAGTGGTAATGATGTGTTGAGTATGAGGCAGGGGGCTATACACATGAGAACCCTCCCTTCTCCAGCTGCTAGAACTGAGTGTCCTGAGACCTGCATTTTCCTGAGACTTCAACAACACTGAAAAATACTTAGCCTGGCTGCCCTGGCTGGAGCATAGGCTTTCTTCCATGAATCAGAAGTGTGCTCTCGGTGAAATCACTGCATTTTACTCTGGACTTATGCCAACAGTTGTTCCAGGGAGTGTCCACCTGGAAAAGAGGAGGAAGGGATATACTGTCTAAAACTTGAGATTTTGTTTACTGACTCTTTTTTCCTTCTGTACAAATGAGAGGTTGTTTTTTTTTTTAACTGTCCCAATTGTATTTTAAATACCTGTCCCCATTAAAGTATACTTAGCTCATAATATTTGCAGAAAACATGCCATATATTAGGTAAGAATTAAAAAATAGAAGTTTCTTTAGTATGGGTATGTGTTTCTACCTATTACATCATTTTCCTGAAATGTGCCAGCCATCATTTCATGCTTGCTGAAAAATTGACTAAATGTCCCTGCCATGAGATATGGCAAAGCCAGTGCTGTGTTCCAGACTTGCTTGAAAGAACAAAAAGCAGTTTGGAGCTCACTTCATGCATGTCTGGCTCTTACAAGAGTAGAACATGCTGGAGACAAGAAGCTCTCAGCATTCCTCCTCCTGTCTCATCTTTCTGCTAGTCATCTGATGAAAACAGGACCCTCCTCTGCCCCACAACCATGGTTCTGCATCTTCACATGCAGTCTGTGTTCACCCTGAGATGAGAAAGCCAAAGGTCTAAATAGCAGGTTTCAGTTCTCTAAAAGGTGATTCAAGTTCAGTTGCATATTGGTAGACATTGCAGCAATCCGTCGTATGGTTATTCCCATGGCTTTTGCTAGAGCAGAGAATAATCCCTGTCTTGCAGACGCCTAGATGCCATCAGAGAGATGGCACATGGCTAGAGATGCCAATATAAAACCCAGATCTTCCCCAGAACTTAGGAAACCTGGTTCCTTACTAGCAGCGCCCCAAGTCCATTCTTGAAGCCCTCTACCATCCTGAGCTCTCCCCAAACAATATCCATATCCACAGGTATATGTGGGACCAATGTATTTTGAGGGTTGGGTGGCCTCCTTGGCCTCCTTTCCCCTTCCTCTGTAGCATACAGTGGTATATGAAAACCTAGTTCTTCTGACTATTCTTCCAAATTCTAGCAGCATGTTGATTCATTTTGAAATTGCAGTAGAATACCCTGCCTGCTGTAGAATATATTCTGCTTATTCTATACGCATTGCAGGGATGGCAGTCCTTCAAGCTCATCAAAGGTCAGGATCATTCTGCATTCTTGGAGCTTTCTACATCTGGCACAGAATAGACATTCACAGAGTAATTGGGGAACTGAACTGATGATTCTGGAGCTGGGGAATATTCTCTGTGAATTGCTAAAATGTTTTATTTTTCTCTCCCCACCCTCTTTCCAGGGAGAATCAACAGCGTTTGCAAGAAGAATTTTCAGACATGATCCTCAACTCTTTACAGAAAAGACAGGCTGCAGGAATAAAAAGCCGAAAACCAACACGGGTGGCCAGCTATAAGAAAGGCACTCTGGAATACCTGCAACTGAACACCACGGACCAGGAGAACACCTATTTTTAGACCAATGAAAGTTTAAGGACTTACTCGCACCAAATCCAGCTGCACTTAGGCAGCAGCCTCAAGTGTCCTGAGGCTTGCATTTTCCTGAGACCTCAGTGACACTGAAAATACTTAGCCTGGCTGCCCTGGCTGGAGCATAGACTTTCTTCCATGAATCAGATGTGTGCTCTCGGTGAAATCACTGCATTTTACTCTGGACTTATCCCAACAGTTGTTCCAAGGAGCATCCATCTGGAAAAGAGGAAGACATATACTATCTAAAACTTGAGATTTTGTTCTTATTTTATGTATTTCATGTTTGTTTTATTGTTTTGTTTGTGGATTTTAAAAACTGGTCCCAACTACATTTGAGCTATCTCATCTCCATTTAGATATCTTATCTCCATTTAAACCCCTTATCTCAAAATTTTTTGCAGAAAATATGCTAGATGTTAGGTAAGAATAAAAGTTTCGAAGTTCCTGAGTCTAGGTCTGGGTTTCTACCTGTTTTCCTGGAACGTGCCAACTATTATCTTCTGCTTGCTGAAAACTGACTAAATGCTCCCTCAGTGAAGCATGACAAAGCTAGCTGTTGCTCAAGGGTGAAAACCTGCCAGGGAAGTTTCACCTGCTGCATGCAAGGGGACTTTAACCTTTAAACAGAGACCTTGCCTGGGGTTGTCCCATCTAGCAATATGGACATGTAATACAAGTAATGCCAGTGACCTAAGAATGGCACCCAGGCAGGGGTCCAATGCCTACTCTGCTTTTTTCTAAAAAAAAAAAAAAAAAAAAGTAATAATCTCTAAAGCACCTGATGTTTTTCAAAATGTAATCCCTTCATTAATTGAGGCATGATGAGTGTGTGTGTGTATGTGTGTGTGTTATAAGATATGTAGGGTAGATCAGGATGTTTCAGTGTTGAATACCTGGAGTTCTAGGAGGGAAAGCAGAGATTATAAACAGAAGGAATGGACAAATTATAGGGGGAAAAATGCTCAGAAGTGAAAAGAATACACCACCTGGAGGTGGATTTAAAAACAAAACAGACATAAGTACTTATGGAGAAACTATAGAAGATCCTAAGGGTTTCTAGACAAAGAAAAATATTTCAAAGCAATAAGAATTAGATCAGCACTAGATGTTTCAGCAAGAATACTAGATGTTAAAAGAAAATTGATCAATAGCTTCATATTTCTGAAGAAACATAGTTATTAATCCAGAATTCTCTTCACATATGCAAGAGCTCAGAAAGTTTACCATGCATAAACTCTACCTGAAAGAAGAATAAGGGCTGGGGTTGTAGCTCAGTGGTAAGAGCACTTACCTAGCATGTGTGAAACCCAGGGTTTGATTTTCAGCACTGCATAAAAATAAATAAATGTATAAAAAAGGCTTCCCATCTTTTAAAAATATATTTTTTAAAAATTGCAAAAAAAAAAGAAAGAAGAATAAAAGAAGTACTCTGTGAATACAAGAAATAAATTCAAGAGGAAGGCATGGATACTACAATCAATCTTCATATATTTGGTTATATATGCTATTCTTAAAAACATGCAAGGTCTGACTTTAAAATATTAAAGTAATAATGATACTAAATCAATTAGACATGTGTTTCATTTGTTTAATGCCAGATATCCAGTATCAAAAAAGTAAATAAAGAGTGTATATTGAGTGTATATTGAGGCAGGAGTATAGGGTTAAAGTTTAAGTTGGTGACTGCTAAAAAAAAAAAAAGAATGGCATGTTCTGTGCTTGAGATTAGTGGCAGGAAGACCTTCCCCAACTACAGCTATTGTTTAGAACAAAAGAAGAGAAAGCATGGAAACTGCCTAAGCAGGTTTTTAAAAAAATATTTATTTTCTAGTTGTAATTGGACACAATATATTTATTTTATTCATTTATTTTTATGTGGGGCCGAGGATGGAACCCAGAGCATCACACGTGCCAGCCGAGTGCTCTACCGCTGAGCCACAACCCCAGCCCCTGACTAAGCAGATCTAACAACAATCACAGCCATTTACCCCAAAGCAACTGATGCTCATTGAAACGCATTTAAATGCTAAAAGACATGCTGTGTATTTTCAAAATGCAATATTTAGCTTTAAATGTAAAATGACTTGGGATGTTAGAAAGACAGCTGGAGGGGAGAACAGAATGAAAAGTTACAAGCAGTTAACACAGGGTGTAAAAATTCACAGCCCCTTGACTGTGAAGGAAGAGGACCAACCTGACCAACAGAAATAAATTGTATATGTGCCCAAAGGCACTCAATCCAAAGGCAATCAATCCCAGGGAGCTCCCCTGCCCCAAGAGAACAAAGGGAGTTGGGGACAACTTTAACCAGATAGGAGACAGTATAACTTAGGAGACATTCATTCAGGAAGACTGTACACCTCATAGTACTCAGCCAATGAGGATACTGGGGAAGGATCTTATGCTCTAGAGGATAGCATGCTGGTTGTACCCCATATGAGGGTGCCTGCTCCCCTAGACACATGCTCTTACAAGACTGTCATTAAAGTAAAAATCCTTGCTTTTTCCACACCTCTTAGCCCATTCTTTGGGTTTGGACAGGTAAGCATGTTTCTCACAGTGCCCAGCAGGAAGACTTAACACAATTTTAGACACATTTTTTGTGTGCACATTAGTACAGGCACAATGACAAAATGCAACATAGTTTATGAATATATTATTTTCTAACCCAAAAACATTTATATGCTCTTTACCCCTTATCTCCTTGGTTCTCTGACTATGGATCGCTATATTAATCAGTGCAGTAAATAATTCTCATCAACCCTCTCTTTGTTAACCATGTTTGATTTCTGTCCTGCAAGAGCTAAAAGAACCACTAACCTGGAAACAAAATGAGAAAGATAAGTTTTGTCCTATTTTCCTTCCTTGTAATACTTTGAAAATCAATGGAAATAACAAATTGTAAAAGAGAAAACTCCAAATAAACAACCACCAAAAAAATGCTCAGAAATTTCAACTATAAAATCTAATGCATACCTGTTCAAAACTGACCTTTGGAATAAAACAAGAGAGGAACCTCAAATCCGCATTACTTCCTCAGACCTCAGAGCAAAAAAAAAAAAAAATCCTTCAAAAGTTAATTATTCTGAAAGGTTTGTCTGTTAATCTCTGAACTGAGGTGACCAGATCTAGGCCATGCGGAAGAAAATCTATGATGACATATCATTTTTAGGTCTACAACATAACATTCTACTGGAAGGAGATGCCAGCATAAAGCAAAGAAAGGAAGGGTGAGAAGGCCCTGGTCACCATAGCAACAGATATACTGCAATTTAAAGGGCTCAGCTATGAGTTACATTAACCATTCAGCGGAGCCATTCAGTGTAGTCCACTGGAAAAATAATGTGAACCATTTCTTATCTTTTAATTCTGAAAGGCTAATACATTTATAGAAAGATGAAAAGTTTTTGGTCCAGATGAGATGATGTACATTAATTTCTCCCTTCTCTTCCCCTCTAACTACAACTAGAGACCCGTGATGAAATGTAGAAACAATCAAGGTAGAATTCAGAAAGGTGGAAAGAGGAAGGCAGACTGGTTAGGGACTCCAGACTGGCACAACATTACAACAGAGGGTTTCACTTTGTTCCACCCAGCAAAAGAAGGGAAACCTGTGCGATGTCCAACAAATCCACAGAATGAATCATTTTTGGAACTTTATCAAAATCAGTTGGCCCTACAACAGTGATGATACTTTTTATGCCATTGACTTATGTGTCTATGTCTTCTCTAATGCCACATAATTTTAATTACTTGTTGCTCTATAAAAAATCTTAAAATTAGGTGGAGTGCTTTTTCCCATATTATTGTTTCTTTTCCCAAAATTTTTAGCTAGTAGAGTTTCTTTTTCTTTCTATATAAATTTTTAGAATAAGCTTGTCTATGGCTATAATAAATTGCTAGGAGATTGATATCATTTGTATCAAACCAATGTATCAGTGTGGAGAGATCTGGCATCTCTATGCTGAGTCATCCAGTCCATGAGCATGATATGTCTCACCATTTGTTCAGGTTTTCTTACACATGTGTGATTCAAATGTTAACTCTCGTACTTTTAAAAAGTCAAAATAAATAGGTAAATTATTCTAATAATGTATTTCATTAAACCAGTGTATTTAAAATATTGTCACCTCAGCATAGAATTGTTAATTAGATACCTTTATTCTTTTTATGGTGTCTTTAAAAGCAGTGCATTTTTTACACTTAATTCAAACTAGCCACATTAAAAGTGCTTGAGGTCACTTATCACTAGTCATGACTAATTATTGGACAGCTCTGCTCCAGAGCTCTGCCCCCAAATTGGGAAACACTCCTTTTTCAGGGAAGGAAAAGAAAACTATGGATTGAGTGAGAAAGTAAGAGGATCTATTTACACGCTTTAAAAAATCATATATCTATATCTATATCTATCTATCTATCTATATATATATATCTATATATAGATATATATATATATATTACATGGACACAATGCCTTTATTTTATTTATTTATTTTTATGTGGTGCTGAGGATCGAACCCAGTGCCTCACACAGGCTAGGCAAACCCTCTACCACTGAGCTACAACTCCAGCCCCCTATTTACACTCTCAAACCAGACACAGATAAAACATGAATATCAAAATTATCTGATAGCAAATTTTAGATAACTACTGTCAAAAGCTGTAAAGGAAAGAGTAAACATTGTACAAGTTAAAATGGGCAATTTTAGCATAGAATTGAAAACAATAGGAAAAAAATAACAAATGAAATTCCTACAAATAAAAACATACTAACCAGAGATGAAGGATAACTTTAATAGGCTTATCAGCAGACTTCACACAGTTAATGAAAGGATCAATGCACATGAAGATAAGACTAAAGAAATTATGCAAGCTAACAAGAGATAAAAAAGTGAATAAAGCCAAGCAAGGCTGCTGAGGGCTGTGGGAAAATATCAAAAGGTGTCACATGTATGTAGTCAGAATCCCAGAAGATAGAACAATGC